AGAGAACACCTGCAGGTGCGAGGGGAGCCGGAGCCCTAGCGGGCAGCGGGAGCCGCCCCGCCGCCGCGCTGCCCCGCCGGACTAGCGCTGGGGACCGGGGGAGACGGCGGTGTAGCCGCTGTCGGCCGCCCCCATGCAGCCTGCAATAAGTGTTTTTGTGGGTATGCTGGTAGGTGCGTGGAGAACCTGAGTAGCTCTTTTTCGGCTGCAAGTACTCCTAAATGAGAAGTGAATTTCTAAGCCAGGAAAACTCTTCGGGAAAACTCTACTACATAATATAGTATATAGGAAAAATCATACTTCGAAACCCAGCATTGCTGTGGCAGCATTATGCACGTAGTAAGTCAGGAGCTGCTGTATTTCAGAACTCGAGTTAAGTGGGTGGTATCGCTCTGCGGTAGCAGCTTGTGACCAGCTCGGCTGCAGCAGTCAGTGCAACTTCGTGCTACTCCGGGAGCCTTAAACCTGCTTGTGGTTTTCGCTACATTTTTAACTCCCTCCACTGCCTTACAGAATTATTTTTGACACTGCAATTGGCTATTACTTAAGCAGATCTAAAAGATGGCCAATCACAACAATACAGCTTCATTTCCAAAAGCCTTTGTTGAAGACCTTTACGATGTGAAAAAATTCCAGAGAATTGTTGTAATGACAAGTTGTGTACTACCGAATTAAAATAACAACAACAAACAAACAAACAAAAACAAGTAGGTTTCTAACTTGTCAGGGTCAGGTGCCAATGAAAAACTCCACTCTCAACAAGGGGTGCTTTTAGCTCCTTGGGGTCAGTGGTAAATTGTTGTGGTAGGGGTTAGAATTTCACTCCAAGTGTCTAAGCCATTAATTATTATCTTGGAAAGTAGTGGAGCACTGTTTACATCTGCAGTTATGATTAGATGTGACCAGAAAACAGCCTTGGAAGGTCTTACAATGCTGGTGTGATATGGCAACAGAGTTAGGGGAAAGAAAGGGTGTTTTAAGTTCCATGCTGTCCTGTGTCACTAATTTCACTCCTCCATGCCTCCTCATCCTAGCACTTTGCAGCATGTCTTCCAGCTCTCATCTGAAAAGCTAGCCTTGATGGGTTTGGGCAGATTTCCAAAGTGTGGTTTGCCACTGTCTCACCATGTAGCTCATCCCTTGTTAGCATTTGGCTAGGAGGGTGAGCTGCTCTATTCTAAAAACCACAGAAGGAAGGTGAAGGAGAGGATTCCTGGTCTGTCTCACAAGCAGGCTCAGTTTAGCCCAGTGGGTGTGCAAACTCGTGCTTGAAGGTATGAAGGCATGTTGGAGTTTTCAGTCCATTGCATGGATTAAAAACAGCTGCTTGTGCTTTTCAGCTTTGGCAGTCCTATTCCATACATTTGCTTTCAAGTATTCCTTTCCGTGGAGAGGAACAAAGAGACGAGGTTCTTCAAAAATGAAATGTGAAATCTTTGTAGATATTTTTTTTCCCTGTTCCTCCCAAACAATTAACTGTCTCTATAATGGCCAAGAGCTGTCTCTCTTTGCCAACTCTGCTAAAGATGTAAAATGAATTTTCATAACTCCTCATTCTTCTGCTAGCTGTACTTGCTGGCATGTGTGTAAGTTGTGCTTTAAGGATGGATCTGGTCATGCAGTGCATCCACATGCTGGTCAGTGAAGATATCCCAGGAAAGAGTTTAATATGATGCTGAAGGATCTGGCTGAGGCACTGTGCTTTATCGAACACAACTGCCAAACCAATTTGAGTATTAATTTAAATATTCAGATTACCAAAATTTCAATAAATGTTTTCTATCAATTTAGACATTTCACAGTGTTTAGTCATTACTTTTATGATATTTTTAAGTGACTCTAGCATTGATTAATGACTATCACAGGAATTGATAGAAATTCAGCCAATAGATCTAGAACGGAATAAAATGTATAGCTATATTTCATGCTCTCAAAGTCTTTGCTATTGTATTGAATTGTCTCAGCTGAGGAAACACAGCTGTATTTTATGAATGGCTATTCCTTGCAAAATGCTATTGTACAGAGTAGTGAGTTGCATTTCGATCTCTTTCATGCCCAGTTGCTTTGCTCTCTCTGCACTAAATGTGATGAAGTACCCAGCCTTTTGCTTCTGCTTTCCACATCACTGGTTTCAGTGGGAGCAGTCATAGTCCTGGGATGCTGTGAATCTGAACTGAATGAAAGAGAAGTCTTTTGACCAGATCCATCTTACGTGTATGTTTCCTAGTTGTTTGACAGCAGTGTTACTAGTGCATGCAAATCAAGGGCCTGATATTTTTTGTAGTGTCCTGAAAATTCTCTGTAGAGTCATGAGATCCTTAGACCCAGTACAAGTATAGACTTCAGAGATGATTTCAATGACTTAATGATACAAAGGGAAAAGGGTCTTTATTTTTTCTCATTTTTGGAAATAAGATTAGTGTCTAAATGAGTGGATGCTTCAGAATGAGAGATGAAAGCAGCAGGAACCCACACTCTAGTATAAGGGAACAGGGTTTCCCACATATCTGTGGTTGTTCTCTGAGTGCTCTTCAGTCTTTTCCCGTGTGTAGTGTATCGAAGTATGGAAACACTGGAATGGTAGGATGACTTCATCGTCTCACAGACAGCAAAAGTTTTGGGGTTGTGCTGTGTAGACAAGGCTACGTCTGAAAAAGTACACTGGTGTTTTTTCAGCCTGGGAAATGAAACTTAGTAGTACAACCACAGGCTTGAATCAAGCTAAGGCACTATATGCTGTCACGTGCCTTTGCCGTCCACCTGGTGTTACGGCTCTTCCCTGGTGACAGCTCTACAGTATTGTTCTTGTGTGGGAAAAAAACGTGGCCCAACTGTGGTAGGCCTATGGAGTGTCAGTGGTATATAATGGCTCAGTGTGCTCTAATATTTAAATAACACTTGTGCATAACCATTTATCAGACTTCACTGCCAGGGTATAATATATAAACTGCTTTAATTGCAGTGGGTTGGAATAGGAGATAATCAAGAAACCTAACGGAAGAGTTTAATGAGTTCAGAGATGTTGTGGATTTAGGAACATTGAGGAAAACCCCAGTTTGTTGTTTCAGTGCCATAAGGGACATAGCTGACATATATATGTGTAAAATGATAGACTGTTTGCTGATGCATTGTGGAAAAACTAAAATAAACATTTGAAACAGCTTTCACTATGCCTTTAGGGTTTGTGGGTTTTGTTTTGGTTTGGTTTTTTTGTCAGGCCTGTATTTCTTTGTCTTCTGTGCCAGAAGGGAAAGATGAGTCTTATTTGGATAATATACACTCTGAAAAGTCAGTGAAGTGAAAAGAAGATTGTGAACACCATATTACTTACCTGGCTTTTTGGCATTTTAATTGGCACCCTGCAAATGCTATCAAAGGATGAGCACTCTGGAAATATGTCTGAAAATTTTAATGCTGAATCCTTATCTAATTGATATGTGAACACAAACATCTGAATTCATGAAAGCAGAAATAAACGTTAAAAAGCTTTCTGTTGAGGTGAGTCTACAGAAAAACAGAACTTTTGAGATCTACCTAAATTGAGTACCTGAATTGGAAGTCTAGATATTTCTATATTAGTAACTTATGAATAATTTCTTTGAAAAATAAAAGTTGCTAAAATAGTATCAGTTGCAACAAAATATCGATATTTTGATAAGATCACGGAATAGTTGTAGCTGGCAGGCACCATCTAGTCCAAACTCCCTGCTTGTGTGGGAATTTGTTTCACTAGACCAGATTGCTTAAGAGATCCCTTCCAGTGGCAGGAATTTGAACTTCATGTTTTTTTACAGATGATCATCATATTTATTTTTTTTTTAAATTTTTTTTTTAATTTTGTGCAGAAAAAGTTTAAAGTCTCCAATGTGTGGCTTCAAATCACATTTTTCTTTGGTCATTATTATATTTAATTTGCTGTTGAAATTTGCTTTTTTTCCCTCCCTCCAGTTTTTGATCTTCTTCCTTATTCCAACAAGCGAGTGGTACTGAACTTCTTGCAACAAGCTTTTGGGGATCCTGTGCCAAATGAAGTGTACCTGCTTTCAACATTCAAATTACAGCCAAAGAGTACAGCCACTGTTTTTGGCCTATATTCATCAGCTGACAACAGCAAGTATTTAGAATTTACGGTAATGGGACGGATGAGTAAAGGTGAGTTGTTTGGAAAGTATATGGTAGAACTGGTGTTGGATCCACAGTCACTGGTGTGTGACAGATGAATGTTGACAACTGTGTGATTAATCTTTGTGCTTGAGTCATTCCTGTTGCATGCTCTCACTTTCTGCATCCCCTCTCACTTCTTCATCTCCTTCCTTCATCCCCTTGATGCTGCTCTCTCCTGGCCAAGGGAAGCTGACCTGACAATCAGCTGCTATCTCGGCTCAGCTGCAGTGCTTACTCTGAGCAATGATGAGAAAGGAGGAAAAAGCCATGGAGTATGGAGCAAGGAGTCAATTTGGTTTGGTCTTTTTTGTTTTGTTTTTTTTTTTCCCCTAGGGACAATCACTGGTTCTTATTACTCAGGAATTCAAGGGACACACGCACATGCTGCCTCATGCATATGAAAGGCAGGTTCTTGTTCTGCTGACCCTGGAGGTTAGATGTGACTATACAAGACAAATATTCCTGGCTCTTACAAGATATGTTGGGTGAAATAAAGTGTTTATTCTTTATTTACTGGAATTAGTTAATCAGGAGTCAGAGTATGAACTACAGAAGTTTTAGAAACAGAGACTTTAATTGATCTGCAAACGAAATCTAGGATATACTGCAGTTTTAGGGTTCAGAGAAAGATTGTTGATTTATGTATGTTATTGTTGCTACATTGAATTCATCACTGCTGTAGTAATTTGCTACTGAGTAATTAGCTGAATCGAATATACTGTGAAATTCTACTGAGAAATTTCAGGTTATACATAGGGATATTCAATATGCTGCAAAAGAAGAAAAGCACACCTTTTCATTAAACATTGTTGGGGAACAAATTAGATAAAACATTGGTAGTTAGTTTTATCAAGTCTGCCAAAATCCTTCTGAGGGAATAAAAGTTATGTGTATATTGGGAGTGGTTAATACATGGTCACACAGCCTCATCAAAAGTGTCATAAGACTGACTTACTTAATTGCTAAATAAATTGTAGATTACATATGCTCACTCTCCCTCTCACACATGCACAATTCTTTGTGTAAATGTTGTACATATATATAGGAACACACATGTATACACACAAATGTGTCTATATACATGCAACTTTGAACATATCAAACTCTGTTTTTTCAAAAATATCTGCATGTCTAATGGTTACTGACAGTCTCTTAAGTCTGTTAAAGTGTTTCTGGTGGAAGTTTACATGGTTTCTTTTGGTTTTGTCCTCAGTAGGCTGGTGTTTGAGAAGCATTTGTGTTGACAGGACAAACGCAATAGTGGCATATGTATAGGCAGCACAGAGCAACTTGTCCTGTCAGTGACTGGTGGTGGGTAGATGGGGGGACATCCGTAACCTCTGTCATGTAAAGGATTGACATCAGACTGATGTAAAGCATTGGCCAAAGAGGGAGGGTTTTTGCAGCAAGACTGTTCATTGGATCTCTTTGCCTCCTTATTACTTTAGAGCACCTTATTCAAGGCATATGGCAGTAAGCAAGTAGTAGTGTTTTCACATGTGATTTCTCTGGAAGTGTTAGGGATCCCATATGGCTGCTTCATACAGTAAGTTAAACTGCATCCAGGATGTCATGTCAGCTGAGAGTATGGAGTGTGAGTTCTGTGTGATCTTCTCAAGAGTGAACATCATCGCTTAAGTGGTGAACCAATATTGGCATCTCAGTAAAACGCAGGGTCTTAATATCTGTGGTTTTGAAAAAATGAATAGTACTTTATCTGCAAGGTATTTCTAGTTATGCACCCAAATGTGATCTAGGGAGCTCAAAGCAGGCCTTAGTTATACTTTAAAATGTCACATTTAAGAGTTTTGTTCCCAATGGTTGCCTCATATTCTGCTTTTATGTGGTATAACTGATAGTAACATGTTTATAACACCTAAAGATTTCTAAAAGCACAGGTCTGAATAACTGATAGCAACACCTAAACTTACAGTAGACAATTGTGCCTTTCAGAGACAGATAGCATCCATGGATTTCTTATTCTTTTTAAATTATTCCTTTAAGGAGCAAACAGCAGTTAGTGCATAGAAGTGTTGCAGTTAAACAATTTTGTGAAGCAGCTCCAATTTTAATTGAAAATTTGTTTCTTAAGCAGTTTACATGACACTGTCATGAAGATCTTAAAATATTCAAGCAGCAAACATACTGCAGGGATTTGGATGAGTTAAATCTTAGAGGCGGAGGCTGTGGTCCAATAAAATCTCTCTTTAAAAGCCTACTTTAGTTTACCAGATGAATATTTGGCTTTGGCTGAGGAAAGAATTCTTGATCCTTCTTTCAAGCCTAATTGCTCCTTGGTCTGAAACTATTCTGGCAGGGTATGTTCTGGATCTTGCCTCCATCTCCTCTTTCTCTAGGCTACTGATGTGTTTGGGCACACTGAATGCAGAGCCAGATCCAAAGACCTTACTTTTTAAATGACCAGGCATGCATAATATTCACACAAATAAAATGCCTGCAATGTACTTTGTCTTGCCGTGTCTTTGAGTTTGCCAAGAAGTGCAACCTTTTAGTGAGTTACTGGTGACCTCATGCACCTTTGCGGAAATCCCAGCTCTGGCAGTGTTTTGACATAGACAGTAGTGAAAACATTCCTGATATTGATCACAGCTGCTGAGGCTCTAGCGCTACTGTAGACTTCAAAGATGGAGACATACCCTGCCCCATTCATGCTGGTATAAATCTGGGGGCTTTTTTCATCATTAGACTGAAGAATTAGAAAAATTTTGGGATGCATGTGTGCAGTAAGTCGAGAGGTCACCAACAAACAGGTATCATAGCATCAAAGCAATTATATTAGTAGTGAAAAGATGGGAAAGTACTTTGTTAAATGAATAGAAATTGGATGGTTTCAGTAAGTAGCTGTGATTAGGTCCAAAGCTAGTAAGAGCTTTTACCTCCACTATATCCACAATATTTGTTTGACTTAGTGTCAGACCATTTGTGAGCTCTAACTTGATGCAACTGTAGCAGCCATCTGTGAATTTCAGACTTTACCAAGAGCCAGCATGCAAATATTTAGATGCCTGGTGTCTGTGCGGCTTGATTCCCCATGCACATAACTGTCATGATCAGGAAATAAGAGACTGTCAATTGGTGATCAGTGGGATCTTTGAAACAAGGTCTGTCTGATATTGCAGGGTAGCTACACACTGTCCAGATGCATTCAGCTCATTGCTTCTGCAGATATGCAGTTGGAAAGCCAGGGAGAGATTTTGTGGAAAGAAATAGCTAGCTGGTCTTAGAGATCTGGCTCACAGATTCTAGCTTACTGATGCAATTTCCTTAGGAAAGAGACATTTTTTAATATTACTCAGCAGATATTTATTGTAAGAGTATTTGTCTGCTGTTATGTTTTTTTGATGGTGCATGTTACTTAATGAAATGAGAATTTTTATCAGGAAGGTCAGTCATTAATGCTTTTAAAAGGAGCTGAGAGAAGATTTGTCATCTCTAAGAGCAGACTACACTTTTTCTGCATTATAGTTTGGTTAAACTGAGCGTTTGTTAATGAGAAGTGCAGGTGATTGGTTTGGAAACATGCTTTCTTTGGCTTTTAATTATGCATTTGGATACACTCTTAGACAACTCCACTGTATGCAGTATGCATCAGTGAAATTGATTTTCTAGTTGTACGCTTCTGCTACAGAGTATTTCTGGGTCTATCAGATATGTACATACCAAAGTGCTGACTGCAGGCTGCCTGCTATGCCCTGCAACTTTACCACCTGCCTTTTAGCACATTATGGCCTGTGACTTTGGCTAAGCCATTTAGAGAAGCCTAGGCAAAGCAGAGGAAGACTCAGCACAGGCAGCAGAGCTTTACAAATAGGGAGTCACACAAGCATCCTGCTAGTGCTGCTTTGACAGTCAATGTCCCATTTATTATTACCATTGTGTCTGCATATGGGATGCATTTGCAAAAGTAGACACATGGAAAAATACCAGAGCAATTGCAGATTTCCACAGGATGTTCCTTGATCAGCCTTGGGCTGTCTGCTACCTTCTGATAATCCTGTGTATTTTGTCCTAGCGGTGCTGCGCTATCTGAAGAGTGATGGAAGGCTGAATTCCGTGATCTTTAGCAACATCCAGCTGGCTGATGGGAAACCCCATGCTGTCATCTTGTGGCTGAGTGGCCTGCAGCAGGGATTGAGCACGATAGAATTGTATCTGGATTGCCTGCAAGTAGGTGCCATTGAGGACTTGCCAAAACCATTTTCAGCACTGTCTCAGAAGGTGGTGGCAGCTGAGTTGCGCACTCTCCAGGAGAAGCCACAGGTGAGCATGGAAACTGGGAACAGGCTGAGGACTTAAGAGGGGTCTCCAGTGAACCTGTGAATCACTGAATTCAAACCTCAGTCCTCACAGCAGCCAAGTTCCAAGTACAGTAATACTTGAATATTAAGTTGTGAAATAAGTGTACATAGAAGCTCCCCATGGAGCAGATGAAATCTTAGCTCACATGAGCCCTATAATAATTCTGCTATTTGTTTTAAATACAATTTTTAGCTTTTTTAATAAAATCCAAAAAACTACAGCCTCCTTCAATCTTGGTGATTTTTGGGGAACGTACATTTTGTAAGGACTTAGCTAATGCAGTAAGGGCATCTTTTCACTGGCTTCTTACAGCTGTTCTGTATGAGCAGTGCTTGTCTGTGTATGTGGCTTTCCTCTTCATATGCCAGGAGACTAAAAAAGGCAAAAGAAAGGGGGGATCTGTTTTTCTGTAAAAGCTTTTCTTCTTCTGCCAACCAGGAGCTGATAAAACTTCCTGTCATCCTGTCAGCAATCTGAGATAAACAGTGTCATCCACAGCATCTTCCATCATCATCATTAATCAAAAATACTCATTAGAAAGTGCAAAGGCATTTTTTCCCCATGGTTTCCCACTTACTTTATTCCATTACAGGCTTGAAAGTGAGCCTGTTTTTATGGAGAATGACTGAGGAGCCCATATTTCTGACATGAATATATGTACCTGTTTGAGAGGAGAGGAAAAAAAAACTGTTTAGGATGCACTTTAGAAAAAATCATATGCCACAGAAATATGTGAACTTCCTAGTATGTGAGATCACACTAATTGGAACAGTAGAAAGATGTTTGAGATAAAACCATAGCTATGTGAAATTCCACAAGGCAAAGATTAGAGATTTTATACAGTTCAAGTGACAATAGATGGTCCTGAAGGGAATGGTGTAGGACCCCTGCATGCGTAGGAAATTGACTCCCTCTCTTAAAAAAAAATTTACTTGGTCTGATATTTCATGTTTTTCCCATTGTACCAGAATTGTGAGATCTGTTTTTCTTGTGAGCCCAGGATACACTGGATGAGCTAAAGCTGGTAACTGGAGGAACCCTTGCTGAAGTGGGAAACCTGCAGGATTGTTTTCTTCAACAAATTGAGCCTGTACCTCAGTACACTGGTAAGGCCTGCAATGGGGAGTTAAAATTATTTCTAATTATATCAGTGCAAGGAAGCAGTGTGATGAATATTGAAAATGTGAAGAAGCTTATAGTCAAGTAATAATTATTTGACTAAATTATAGCTATGACAGTTTCCTGTAAATATTTTAGAAATAGCTCCTTTTGTAGAGAAAACGGTTGCTGGTGATAAAGCAATGAATTGTTTTAGTGATACAAGTCTGTAATGATTGAAAGAGTTTTTTTAGCCTAATTTTGAAGGCAAGTTTTTGTGATGATGATGATCTGCTTGTGTCAGCTTAATAGTATTTTAAGTATTCAAATTGCAAACAATTGCAGATGGAAAGTAGTGCTAAATGGGGTACATTGCTACAGGCTGTATGAAAGGAAGTTGGATGGAGTAGCAGGACCTGTCCATGTACTTATTCACACTGGCAGTATTCATCTCTTGTTGAGCACTGGACTGTCACCCAGAGGGGAGGAGCAAGGTGTGAAGAAGTTCACAGGAGACTGAAGAAAATGTTAGTGCCGTAGCTACAGAGCGTATATGTCTGTGTGGGAAAAGCCTTTGCAGAGTAGCTATTAGTCCTGCCACAGTTTAGTCAAGGCTTTTGTCACCTGCTGAAGGGGACATTAATTTAAAAACAATTCCTCTTCTGTCTGTGCTGAGCATTGTTGAGACTGAGGAAGGGAAGGAGCTGAGGCTGCTGGGATCCCTGCAGGGCCTCAGGGGCTTACTGCAATCTCCTATGTTATGTGAGGGTGCTTCCCGACCTCTGTACACACAAAACCTGTGCTAGACTGTCCCATCTGTCATTCCAGTCCCTGTCCATCTGCCTTTCTGCTGTGGGTGTGAGGGAGAAGAATGGGTTCACTCTGCATGCAATATATTAATACATGACAGCTATAGGAAGGAAACTCAGTTCAAGGTTTGAAATAGGATCTGCAATACGTTCTTTCTCGTACCCTTTTCTGTCTCCCATGCCAAACCCAACCCTGCAGCATTGCTAGTTTTGATAAGAACAGAGACAAGATGCAGAAATTTTATGAGAGCATCCTGGTTATGTCACCTGAATGTAGGCATCAGTGGTGTGCAGTGGTAACAAAATCTGGTCTACCTTTTAGCTATGTAAATCCTTAGTTCCAAGTACTTCTATTTCCTTCCTTCTTAACATAGGTACACTTAGATAAAGAAAGGAAATTTGTCCTCAAGGCTCTCTCTTTTTCACCGAATCAACAGGGATTTAAACATGGAACAGAAGGGTAATTCAGTGTTTGCTTCTGCAAAAAACAAGCAGCTCTCTCACGGCGAGTTTCCAAATTACAAACTTGCAGCTTTCTCATTTGTAATTTTTTGCTCACGAATCAATAATGCAAATGGTAATATACAGAGAGATCTCTATTTTTCTCTGTGGCTGCCTCCACCTGTCTTAGACTCTCAAATTTAGTTGCTTTTAACTTTCAAGTGGAATTAGTATAATTAATAATAATAGTAATAGTAGTAATAATAATAACTACTCATATAAATACATTCAAAGTCTACATAGTAAAATCCACCAAAAGAAAAGGTGAGAATTCCAACAGCAATTTTAACTTGTCTGCCTTGAACTTTGTGTATGCTTCATGATGCCACTCTATGGCAGTAATATAATGACAATTTTGCCTACTGCCAGGGAAAGCTGGAATGCAAATGCTCAGCTGTATAGGGGAGTGAGACCTAATATCTTGGTAAAAACATTTAATATGCTTTCATTTTATATGCTTTCATACTAATTGGAAAATCCTTAGGAGTGCTTTGGACCTGAATAATTACATGGTTTTGACTATGTGCGGGTTGTTGTTCATTGCTTTGGCAACAGCATTCCTTCCATGTTCAGTCTGTGAGGCTGAGAGACCTAAACAGTGAGATGAAATGATGATGATCAGACACGTGCTGAAGATGTGTATTTGGATTTTTCTGTTTGGGTAGGAAAACAGAATGCAAGGTGCACTAGGTTTGGTAGATGAGATGAGTAGGCTGCGTGTGATCGTCATCACAAGATTGTTCTGGTCACAAGGGATCTTTGGAAGTTGTCTAGTTCATGTAGGGTACCTGAACCTGACAAAGTTAAAGAATATCTATATTGCACCAGACCAAATGTTATTTCAACCAAGTTGCTGTTAGAGACAGTATGTCAATATAGACCCACAGGAAAGAGCATAATGGAATGGAATGTGGCTTTCTCTGAATGCTTCACTGTTCTCCATTTCATGGTATTCAGAGCTGTTCAGAAATGTTTTTTCTTGTCAGCCATCATCTATTCAATAATCATGGTTTGCTCTCTGGACAAGAAACCACAATATTCCAGAGTTCAAGAAGCTGGAAAATGTTCTCATGCACATGGTGTGATTCTTGGGATTGTCCCATGCAGGGCCAGGATTTGACCAGATAATCCCTATGAGTACCTTCCAAATCAGACTATTCTGTGATTCTGTTGATATCACTCTCTTTGAATGACAATTTGGGTTTTGAATGACACAGACAGGAGCAAGCGTGTCGCTTGATCCAGAGAGCTATTGTTCCCAAGAGAGGGAGAAGCAATAGCTATGAGGTGTTCCACTGTGGCTAGTGTTTGTACATGCCTGGGCCAACTGGCTGTACAATGAAGCTGCTTGCCTGCTTGAAATTCAGGGTCCTGTATTTGAACACGTTGCCTGGAGAAGCTATGGATGCCCCATCAGGAAATGCTGAAGGCCAGGCTAGATGAAGTTTTGAGCATTCTGGTCTAGTGAAACGTGTCCCTGTTGGACTCCTTACTGTGATCTTCAAAGGCCTTTTTCGATCCAAACTGCTATGATTCTATACTGAAATGTCCTGGCAAGAGAAATATGGGGACTTCAGTTCCCTGTTGGTCAGGAATACTTCAGAGCAGTATCTGAATTTAGTCATTACTGTGAAGGCCATTCTGTTAATAATATTGTTAATGACTCAAGAATATAGAGTTATGGAGTAGCTGAACTGAAGAGTTGCCTTATTAGATATTAGGGGTATGGATGAGAGAGGCTACATGGAAGGGCCAGAGAACTGTATAGCTTCAGGCTGGTACCTTTTGCTTACCTGCTTTCTCCTGGATCCACTATATTGTGGACTGACAGCTTCCTTAAGGGCCTCTCTGAGTACTTGTCCCTAAACATCGATTATTCTGCTGCAAGTGGTGCCTGCTGTTGGAATTGCTTTTAACAGGAGAGAAGGAAACAGAACCAGGTATCCAGGTAGTCAGCTGTTTCTGCTCTGCTGTCTAAATTTGCATCCAGGACATGTAGTTAATGGCAGTTTAACCTGTTTAGTCCACCTTAATGTTCAGCAGCCTGCAAAACTTAACTACAGAGTAGATCTGGTTTTGATTTAGATGCTAGCCAACAAACATCATCTGAAGTCTTGAAAATTTTTTGCAGATTTCAATCAATAATGCCTAAATGAGTCTTTGTTTTAAAAATAAAACAAGAACAGACCCCAGTGTCTGGCCTGACAGCCTGTGTGCCAGGTTCCACTGTGGGATTCTAAAATACCCATGATATTATGTCCTGCTGTTGTCACCCAAATAAAAATATGGCAAGGTTAGGACTGAAACAGAGGCAAGCTCTGGAACAGGTGATACCTGATTCTTTAAACTTGTTCAGTGTTTTGATGAGAAAATATGAAATGAAGAAAACATAGTATGTGAGGAGTTGGATGGCTCCCACTAGAATGTTTGGAAACAGTTAGACATGCTTTGAAGTATGAAACAATGAGGTAAACATTAAGAAAAGGATTTTTCATATAAGCTTTCAGTACTCACAAAAATAACATGTGAATAAACCTCCCTGAAGCTATCAGGCATAATATCAAAACATCCTGCCTGCCTAGACTGTGGAATAGCATATATTTGTGAAGTTTGTTTTTAGATACAGACTTAGAGAAGTAAACAAATATCTTCTTCTTGAGAGGTATAAATTCAAAAGTAAGCTGCAAACCAAAGCAAGCTACTGTGTTAAACACGCTCTCTGCTTCTTCTCTATCACTGGCTCAAAACCAGTGTTTCATTTAAGAGATTAAAGTCTCCTGTGAAGATTGTGGGTTTGATCTGGTCCTTCCCTATGGCTCATTACAGATTTAACTTCGGTCTTGTCTTAGAGGTCTTTAAGTTAATACTGGGTATTGATGACTGACTTTTGGTGTGAGTTCATAGTGTGTTGAGTAGATGTTTTGTGAGTCCATGCAAAGTCTGCACCTGTCAGAAGCAAATGTAGCCATGAAACTTATGTAGGGTGTGCCTTTGAGAAGAAAAGCCAAGTGACTGTTGCAGTCACTATTTTGTCAGAGCAGGCACTGTTGATGTGTTCTCAGAGCTTCACAGTGAGCTTCCTCAGAAAGAAGGGTAACTTTACTTTAAAAAACATGTATGAATCAGCTGTGGTTACAACTGTGCTGTGCCAACAGGACCTAGGAAGTTATCAACCCCCAGTACTCAGGATTGGTAAGGCCACAGCTCAAATCCTGTGTTCAGTTTTGGGCTCCTCACTTTAAAAATGAAATTGAGGTGCTGGAGTGTGTCCAGTGAAGGGCAACAAGGCTGGTGAAAAGACTAGAAAATGTGTCATGTGAGGAACAACTGGGGGAGCTGGGTTTGTTCAGTCTCAAGAAGAGGAGGCTCAAGGGGGACTTCATTGCTTTCTACAACCACCTGAAAGGAGGATATAGCCAAGTGGGCACTGATCTCTTCTGCCATGACTGCAGTAGGAGGACAACAGGAAATGGCCTTAAACTGAGACAGGGGAGATTCAGCTTAGATACTAGAAATATTTTTTTCATTATTAGGGTTGTCAGGAATTAGAATAGGCCCAGGGAGGTGGTGTAATTACCTGGAGGTGTTCAGGTGATGCCTGGGTCTGGTGCTAAGGTGATGGTTTAGTGGTTTAGGGGTTACAGTGGTAGTGTTGGGATGGTTAGAGTGCATGATCTTAAATGTCTCTTGCAACACTGATGATTCCATGGCTCTTGATTCTATGACATAGAATGCACTTAGGCAGGGTGTCTTCCCATTGCATGCACATACGCTTCATGGCCTCACACTGCCCTCACTGCCACTAATAGGTTATCACAAATACTCAGTTCTGAAATCCTGAGGTTTCATATAGAGTTGCTGGACTCAGGCCTAGGAGGAACCAGTAGCACTGGTGGCGTTAGTTGCCTAGGAGAGCCTTAACACTGAAGTAATGCTAGAAGAATCATGATCTTATTTTTCTTTCTGTGGAGAGCTTTCTGCTTTAACCATATCTGTGGTATATGAGGAGTTCAGTCCAGAAAAGCCTTGAGTTCATGAAGAACACACTCTTTGAGGTAAATACTGTGTTTGCTCTGATGATCTCTACAGGGCTTGCGTAATAGCAGTGTCTGCCCTCCTTGGCTCTTCATGGGGTTTCTATCTTATATCTCAGAAATTAGCATGACAAATTGTGGTAGTTTGGCATTGGAAGAAGAGTTATGTTGTACACTCCTTTTCACTACTGTTTCTCTGCAGGTGATTTTAATAGGCAGCTGATGGGTCAAATGATGCAGATGAACCAAATACTGGGAGATGTGAAAGAGCTTCTTAGACAACAGGTACTGTGTACAGATTCTGGTGTGAAATATCCCAATTTATCCCCTTTGATAGTTAGTGCAGATTTCAGGTAAGCAGTAAACTCCTGTGTGGAGTTACTGCTTTAGAGTTATTACCTTAGAGGCATGACACAATCTAGAAGAAATAACTAAATAGGTCGTGGTACTCTGTGCCTGCAAGGGAGGATCATTGGATATGGGAGTATATGGGGCTTGCTTAATCAGGTCCAGAAAATTTAGTGTCTGGTGAGGAAGTCTAATAGCCCACTATTAGATAGTTGTGGATCTGTTGCATGGAACTGAAATTGCATTTGTTTCACTTGCTGGTGGGTGTCATAACTGGAATTGCTAGTGGCACATTCCTTTGGTCAAACAAGGACTTTTGGACCTTTAAAAGTTGTGTTGATGAAGGCTGAACCTAAGTACATCCATTATCCATATCCTTAATTTTATGGAGTACAAAGACCATCTCATGTAAGACCCATTACCTGTGTTGCATGGTTTGAGTGGCATCTTGGGGACTAATGGTTCTTGCCTCAGCCATGTACAAACTGGAACTATCTGTATCTAAATAATATTTATTTTCTGTGTTCTCAAGGTCAAAGAAACAACTTTTCTGAGAAATACCATAGCAGAGTGCCAAGCATGTGGTGAGTACTCCTGTTATTGCTGGTAATTTAGAAGAGATAGTTGTTTTAAAACTAGTATTGATCGCATTAGCTTTATGTGGTTTCTAAAAAATGCTTTTTTAAAAATACCGTGTCCAGAGTTCTAGATGTATTTGTATTTGGACAAAAATTTAAAATAGATTGTCATTAAAGAAAAATCTTCCACAGACCCAACAATCACCTCTTGGGGGATAAAATGCCACTAAACCAACCAGTACCACTCAGGTTGTACTGTCCGTTCTCAATCTGCCAAAAAGCTGTCCCAGAGTGTTCCTGTGGAGGGAGACACTGTCTCCCAGCTATTTTAAGCACAATCTTAGTAGAAGAACAAGGGAGAATCATGTTCTGCTCTGACTGGTATCAGTCTGAGGAAGATCAATGCAGTCCACCTGATCAGTTTGTCTGATTCTGAGTAGGCAGTCAATAGTCAACAGCATTAAGACCCAAAAGGTGGTTTTCATCTTTTCTCTAAATGAAAAAAATGCATACTTTTCTAAATGCCACTGCATGGCCCTCCTGCATTACACACAACTGACAATCAGTACACAAGTGCAGTCAGTATAAAAACCAGTATACTCCCTTACCACATGGGATGAAAGGTCTTGAACTCATCAGGCCTTTTAGTTGATTTCTTCTCCCAGTCTGCTAGCCTTATCAAAACTCAAGTAGAGCTCTAGGCAGGGCAACTTTATGTATAAGTGTCAAAGGAAAAGTTAGATTCCTACATGCATTTGTACCAAGGTTCTGTACCTGCCAGAATCTCAGAAAGACCTGTCTTTGGCTCATCTCTGTGCACCTAAGCCTGTGTACTTGGATGGTCCTGCTGTGTTTGTGGGCTGCCAGCTGCTCCTTCTTTATTCTTCTTATTCGTAAACTCTCGAAGATGCTGTTGTGAAACCATAACATTGTTTTTCTTATGAAGTGTTGCTAGTTCAGCCAGAGAAATGCCCTGTATTTGTACCCTTATACTTGAGTCGCTTTGTCTAAGATCACAGGCTTTCCTGCCCTGGCCAGCAGCATTTTTAGGACTAGCCTAGGAGGAAGGCATCCATATGTAGCCAGGAGAAGCACATGGAACAAAAAGAACTAAAAGAACAGTCTCAATTTCCCCTTGCTGGGGGTACAGTAAGTTCCTGGGCCATTTGCAGCATGGAATCTTTTCAGCTGCAACACAGCTGGCAGCAGTACAGTGCAGGGACATGAAGTGTCTTGGGAATTTCTTCAGAATGCTTGCCAGCTGAGAGTCATGATAAATGATTTCTTTCAACCACTGAAATTGTTCTTTCTGCATTAAAGGTTTAGGCACTGTGAGTTTTCCGACTCAGCTTCCTAGGCGCGCTAAACCGAAATGTGAAGTTAATTCCTGCTTCAGGGGAGTGAGGTGCATGGAGACAGCAGAGGGATTTCAGTGTGGGCCCTGCCCCGAAGGACTCACAGGAAATGGAGTTACATGCTCAGATATTGATGAGGTAAAAGAGTGACTTTCACTGAATTAAAAAGAAAAGCTAAAAAGCAACTGTTCCATACATGTCAGTGGGTTGCTAATACTTGCTGACTTCATCATGTACTGACTGCTTGCACAGTGAATATTAATTCATTCTGATTTGATTTTATATTCCTGTTTTGCTGTTTCTTCAACTTTATGGAGGTTATGTATGTGAAAACTTGAAGTACCCTGGTTAGTTGAGAAGTCACTTAAAGGAGCTTAATGTTTGGAAAAAACCCCCAGAACCTAAACCAAACCAAACCAAAAACTTTTGACATTGCCATTTCTATTTCACAAGAAGATGCTGCAGCTTCTGTTATAGGCTGCAGAAGCACTTTTTATTTAATATGGGCTTTGTTTCTTTAAACTGTGCTCCTGAACCAGCCTTGGAGACCAAAGTCTTTTCTTCAATCAAAACTGGAGTCGTGTTTGCATCCTTACTTTGAAAATCTATGAAAGAAAATAAACAATCATTGTCATTGTTCCTTTTGCTTCTTTGTATTTGTGTTGAAATCTGATAATGTTGACTTAAATCTAGTTCCTTTCTTGTGATTTATGTTAGAAATTCAGAGCTTGCTTGTATTGAGGACTGAATTAATAAATTTGCAGTATCTTAAATGACTAAAGAAACCTGTGTTAATTAGAATGTGACACTTACCCCGAACAGAAACAAAAAAACACTTACAGGTTCACTGCATTTTTTGTGTGGGATGATTTTTACTATTACTCTTAAGTCTTTTTTGCGGAAAAGTACCTGAATGTAGTAGACCAAGGAACCAGCAGAATTAGGTGATAAACTGCACATCTGTATAACACAGTACTACCACTGTACCTGTTCAGTAATGTAAAACAGCAAAAGCAATTCCCTTTTTCTCCTTTCTAGCCAACAGGAAATGTGCTTTGACTGCTCTTTTGATTTATTCCCTCCTGTAGACCATCAGGTGAGGGTGTGATGTGCTTTACACCTGTCTGTGAAAAGTGCTGGGGAGAGAAAGTGAGTTGAGTGTGGAAGTTTCCTGAGGCATTGGCAATGTCTCTTGTTTTGACTTATGTGGCATGAACTGTGTCTGCTGCAACAGAAAGCACAAAAAATGGAGGTGAAGCTCTGAAATGTCAATGCAAGTGATGGATCCAAGACAGCTGTGGTATGTTTCATGCTACAGACAGACATGGTGTGAGGCTCAAGCAAGACTATGTGGATCCTGCCAGAATGGATGGGTTTCACCTCCGGAGCTATTTTCAGACGGAGGCAAAGCATTGCAATAATCTCCTCCCTGCCATTTTCAGGATTGGAGCAACTCTATCCATTACAGCAGTGGTGGAAAAAGAAACAGTGGTTTATGATGGCTTCATATTAAAGTGGTTGTCTGTTAGCAGTCAGGCTCTGATCACTGAGATCCACGTACCTTCATCTTCCAGCCACCACTCCACGTGACAGACCAGCTTTCACATTAGAAACAGCAAGGAATTTTTGCCAAAATTGTATCATAGAAATAGTCTTTCTTATTATGAGGTCTTTATGTGGACACTGACATTAAAATGCCACTTTGTCAGGAGTAGTTTTGTTCACCAGCAAATACCTTTTTAATCAGCTGGATTTTTGCACAAGGATTTGCACAAGGAGATTTGCACAAGGAGAAATAAAGAAGCAATAAATGGCAATAATTTTGAGTTGTCTAATGAGACAGTATGTCATATTACTTGTTTTCCTGAGTTAGCTGATATGCAGGAAATTTTTGTTGGTTGGTTGGTTTTGTTTATTTTTTAACTTATTTAAGGCCTTTTTTGAATGAACTATTTCTGTACTTCCTAATAATAGGCATTTTAAATGAAGTTACTGTACAAATTCTGATAAGGACAAATCTGGGAGATTCTTCACTAAGAGCTGCCATAATCTTTCTTGAGGTTGTTAGTATCTCTGCAGCATGCTCCCTAATTCATTACCAGTTTGAAGACATTACCTTGGTATGCTGGTGCTCATTATCTTGGGAGCTGCAGCTCTGCTCTATGTGCTGTGTAATTTGGGTGCCCTCTGCTGCCTACAATAAAGAATCCACAGCAAAATAAGGAGGCACAAAATGTCTGTCCTAGGTTTGACGTTTTCCTTATATTACTGATTATTATATGCTATATAATCAATGTGCTATTGACAAATCTTTCAGTCAAACACACTTTGATATTAAACATACCTTTTCTTGTTTCCATGTGTGTGTGTTGGGTTACAAGTTGTATGTCTCTTGTAGGTGGATATTGTCAGGTTTGTTCTCCCTCCATCTTGCAGATGCTTTTCTGTTAGTGATGGAAGGAGGAAAAAAAGACATTTTTTTAAAACCCTTTAGTATTTCTTTCTAATTTATTGTTGTCTTTGAGCCCTGTGCAGCAGGATGGCATGTTGATGTTTTTTGTATGCTTATAAACATTATTTAGCAGCTAGTGTTGATGTTGGAAAGGCAGCAATGCAGGATGTTTCCCAAACTGGCACCCACAAGACCAGTGAAATCAGTCACAGCTGTTTTGTAAAACTGCACAAGGCAGTGAAGTGAATTTGGCCTTCAGGCCAAGGGTGATTTTGTGGACATGTGGTATTTTGGGAGAAGTTCCAAGGATTGTCTGTGGGGCCTCCGGTCTAGAAATGTGTGGATGCCACTGACACATCCTGCTTATCTAGCTTATGTTTGGATTCCTTCTGACTATGAGATTTGTCCAAATACAAATGAAGGAAAATGCTGCTGCCACTTCTGTGTGTACAAAACACATTAGAAGGGGTGTTTAGAGACTTGGAGTTATGTGACTTTCCTGATATTGTGGTCTGGACCCTTCCAGGAGCCTTTCAGCCTCCAAGGGATCTGAATCTGGCCAGCTAAAGGAAGGATTCAGGATGAGAGTTTAGGACATCAGCTACAGGCTGTAATGGAAGGTAGTTTAAATTATATTTAAATTACAGAGATAGCTGAAGATTTACTGAGGTCAGAAATACCTGCAGAGATGGTTTCCTCTCTTAAGCCCTCTCTGAACAGAGAACATAGAGGTGTTGCATTGCCTTTGATCAGAGCTCTGTACACACAGTCAGAGTCTGGATGTTAACTGAAGCACAAACATGTGCTTGGTTCATTTTTTCTTTGCAGTGTCGTTACAACCCTTGTTTCCCTGGTGTGCGATGTGTGAACACTGCTCCAGGTTTCCGATGTGAGACATGTCCTCCAGGATATACAGGACAAGCCATGCAAGGGATAGGACTCAGCTATGCTAAGAGCAATAAGCAGGTGAGTGCCAGCACCTCCATGACAACTTCCATTGTTTTATTTTAGCAGTTCATCTGTATTGAAATGTATTTATTTTTCAGTCATTCCATAATTGCCTTGTGCTGTCAGGCAGTGCTCAGTGTTGCTGTTGGAGGTCTGATTTATGTTTGCATAGCTTTAATGGGAGTTTTAACAATCTAATACTCTTGACTGGCATAGAGACAAGAAAAAATGTCATTATCTTTGTAAGTATCTCTGATGAGCTTCAGGGGGCTCTGTTGATTTCTGTAAATTGGCTTTGGACTAGGAAGAAAATTATTAAAAAGACCTATTTTACTGTAATTTTTTATTTTTTTTTCATATTTCTGTAAGCACCCTGGAATGGGAACACAGTTTTTGTATAAACTTTTCTGGGTGAACAGAGCCCATCCTAAAGTTGAATTTTTCTGCTTCTCCAGGGTTTAGAAAGTTAGCCTATGGATATGTCTGTGATGTTCTGAGAGCAGTTTCAGAAGATGCTACATCTCTTTTCTAGTCTTACACTGTGGTGGTGTTTCTTCAGTCTTTGATCTCAATAAATTGACATTTTTTTAATTATTTGTGGATTTGGTTTATTGCTAGGTCTGCATAGATATTGATGAATGTCAGAATGGAGGACTTGGACTCTGTGTTCCGAATTCCCATTGCATAAACACTTTGGTAAGCATCTTTTCATTTATGCCTTGAAAAAATCAATTGTTTTAAAATTCCATGAGGCTAGGATTGGATTTATGGGTCTGATGAAAGAACAGTTAATAATACAGGGATTTTTTGTCTTCTTATAAATCAAAGAAGCCTTTCCTCTTTTCCTAGCTAATAACAAGAAAAATTAATACTTGATTTGTCATGAACACATCCATCTGAATTGTATCCTTATCATTTCTCTTGAAGATCAGGAGCTCTTCTCTCCATACCATCCAGTGATTATGTGTGTTTATGGGTATGGTATTGCAAGAAACCTCCTTTGAAAGATTAAGCTTCTGCTTCCCTTATCTCCTGCCTCCTGAGAACTGCTGCAACAAGCTGTTCTCCTGGGTGCTCTCTTTATAGGAGTTATGCATACTGGAACAGTTACCCCTCTAAATAAATGGAAACAAAGAGAGCTACAATTAGTACAAGACTGTTAATGCCCATAGATATTAAACCCAGGAGTGCAAGCATAGGAGAAGTAAAAATGATTGAAAGATGTTAGGATCCAATAAAATGGGCATACAGCCACTTTAAAGCTGTGAAGCAAGTTGGACATAGAATCACATGATCATGGAATCATTTATGCTAGAAAAGACCTGTAAGGCCAAGTCCAGCTCTTAACACAGTACTGACAATCGCGCCACTACACCATTTTCCCAAGTGCCACATCCACGCATACTTTGAATCCTGTCAAGAATAGTGAGTCTACCATTTCCCTGGACAGTCTGTTACAATGCTTGTCAATCCTTTTTGTAAAAAAGTTCTTGCTAATATTCAGTCGTAATCTCCCTTGACCTGAGAGGGCCTGAGGATCTGAGGCCATTTCTTCTTGTCCTATCACTTCTTACTTGGGAGAAAAAACAACACTATCCACCTATAGCATCCCTTCTGGTACTTGCAGAATTATAAGGTCCCCCCTGAGCCTCCTTTTCTCCAGGCTAAACACCCCTCAGCTTCCTCAGCCACTCCTCAAAGGACTTGTGCTTCAGATCCCTCACCATTGCTGATCCAGGCCAGGATGCCATTGGCCTTCTTGGCCACCTGGGCACAGCCTGGCTCATGTTCAGCTGCTGTCACCAGCACCCCCAGGTCCTTTCCAGCCACTCTGCCCCAGCCTGTGGAGCTTTGGGGGAACAGCACCTGTGACCAGCCACCAGCTGGATGTAACTCCACTCACCACCACTCTCTGGGCCTGGGCAGTTTTTAACCCTGTGAACAGTGCATCTACCCAAGCCTTCAGCTGCCAGTTTCCCCAGGGGATTGCTGTGGGAGATGGTGTCAGAGGCTCACCCACTGAGCAGGTCACCCTCTTACAGAGTACGCAGGACCTACCTTTCATAAATCCATACTGTCTGGGCCAGATCCCCTGGTTGTTCTCTGCATGCCACAGGCTTCCTTCATAGCAGGAGAAAGGCATAAAGTGTCCTTCAGTTATAAAGGTGGTCCTTTCTGAAGAAAAGTATTGTAGAGTCTACCATTTGTGTTCAGTGTTACCTTTCCTTGAGAATAAGCTTGTTTTCTCAGGGCTGCTTTCACTGTTCAGTATGTTTGTACAATTTTTTTTAATATTTAGAACATTCACTGTAACATTTTGTATCTTGCTGTAAGACTAGACATGCAGCTTCTTTGGGAAGCTGTCAGGCCTTGTCTGCAGAGGGCAGGCACCAAGTGGCCTGCCATCTGTCAAAACAGAGCAGTGTGGGGTGTCTAATCCTGTGTCCCATCAGAAACAGTCTGGTCTGGAAATGCTGCCTTAGAGGCTATTTTAATGCATTCCAGAGCTTGATATAGGACAGAATATACCGAGCAAATTCAGTAGACTCCAGAAGATACTACCCTGGCATCCATTAGGTTAAAGTGCACAGGCTGCTGTGTTTCAAGTAAGCCATACCATTTGCATGGCCCAGGAATTACTTTACTTTTCAGTCATCTGTTTATTTTCATCTTCATCCTGAAAGTATGCAGACAGAACAGAGTTAAAATCTGTAACAAAGTTAGAAATAGAGGAAAAAAATAATGCCCACCTGAGAAATAAGTAGATTTCCTTGTGATGGTGGACTACAACAGTCCTGACAGTTCTTCCAATAAACTTTGTACATGAAGAGTGAAGTTGTATGAAGCACCTCAGTTTCACCAATGGTTAGATGCATGTTTGTCAGATACTTGTCCATTTCTGTCCCTTGACATGTCAAAAAATAATTAGTCTCCGTAAGATAAATAGATTGTTCTCAATTAACTTTTATGTCTTAGGTTACAGGTCTGCAAGACTCTGAAACAGAGACAAAAGCCACATTGGATGCCTAAAGAAGACCTCACTTATAAGCATTTTTCTCTTTATATCTCATATGGTGATTGGCCCAGCACATGATGAGATTCCTTTGCTTAGCTTGTGTTTGTTTACACAAGAGAGTAATACATATGAAATACATATGCATGTGCCATGGTAAACCATAGCAAAAACTTACATGGATGTTCTTATTGCAGTGTAAACGAAGATGGCTGTGTCTTCAGATACAGAATTCTTTTCTGAAGAAAGAGATTTGGATCAAATGAAACATTTAAAAACATTTTAGCTTAAAAAAATAAAATGGGGCAAAGACATGATGAACCTTATCTCTCTTTAATTAAAATTTGTGACCAGTTGCCTTTTGATAAACTGATAGGTGTGCTTTACAGTGAAATAAGATCATCCAGCCCAATTAGTCAGCTGCTGCTTAGAGTTTTGCACAAAGTTTCAGCCACCTGGAAGCAGTACAAGGTGATGCTGGCAAAGACAAGACATCATGAAGAAGCTTTCGCTGCTATATGATTTTTCTCTGGTTTAACAAAACACTGGTCTAAACAGGCAAGAGTTGAATATGTTTTCCAGCATGCACTCTGGGAGCCAAATATCATTTTCCTGTAGAAAATAAAGTTTGTTCACAGCATAAGAGACCTCAGTGGATAAAAAACTAAGGCTAAACAGTATGACTTGAGTCTTGCTCTTGTGCTTGCTTTAAAAAGGAAAAAAGTACTGTTAAAAGGCTGGCTGGTGACTTTTTGTTCTGACAGGGGTCTTACCGCTGTGGCCAGTGCAAACCAGGATATACAGGAGACCAAACAAGGGGATGCCAGGCTGAACGAAGTTGTAGGAATCGATCCCTTAATCCATGCAGCATCCATGCCCGTTGTATTGAGGAGAGGAGAGGAGATGTGACATGTATTGTGAGTTCATCAATTTATGCATTTTTACAGTGAAATCCAGCCTGTTTTAGGCTGGAATGAGAAAGCCTTTGTGGTCATTTTGTACAGTTGGATGTTTTACCAATTGTGGCACACTGGTCAAGACCAGTTGTGAAAAACTGGCTTGCAATTATTTTGTTCTTGCCACATGTCTGTAAAGCAGCCATGTTCATGTATCATATTCACTGTGTCTATGTAATTAGATCTTTAGGAATCACTTTTGTAGACTTTATGTAGTCTCCTCAGAAAAGACTGTCAAGTGTCACTCTACAGAAGACTTCACAAGGACAAATTCCTTTCCTGGTGCTCAGCTACATAGCTCTGAGTAAGGATCCTTTCTGCATAGCTAACATGCCTGTATTTGCTGGCTGATAGAGACAATGTTTTTTAAAGTGAGATGACAGATTCCAGGCACAGGGAGGCTGTTCTGTGCTTACCAGCTATGGGAGCAGAAGAGCAGAAGCAGCATATGAACTTCCACTGTAAGAGTATACTGAAGTATATTACTTAGTTTTTCCATCTTGCAACAGAAAGAGACTAATCCTGTGTCCTAAATTTGGTTACAGTGCATGCTTTTGCTGGCACTTGCCTTGGTCTCATTTTTAAGTACATCTGTTTCAAAGACAAATAATCTAGGGTATTTTAAGTCCATGCTGTAATGGGAAGATGCCTAGATGCTTGTAGCAGGCAAGTCCTGGTTTTAAGGGAAGGCCAGATTTTGACATGCAGTTCTCTGCACATGTCTTGGACACAAATGATGTGTTGGTTTGAAACAGTAATAATTTAATTGGCTAGGAGAAACTTGTGTACAGATTAATTTGTCTTGTAGATGCAAACTGTAAATTCCAATACAGTTTTCTCTTAAAACTTCCTTTAGTTGCAGATGTGTTCTTGAGATACTGAACAAAACACAGTCGTCCCATCTAACCGTGTGCTCCTTACTGAGATGCTAGGTGTATACTTTACCTAGTCTCCTATTTTCTTCTCAGCCTGAGGAGCTGCCAGCTGAGGAGCCAAAATTAGTTCCTGGCCAGTGTTGATAAGAAATCTAAAGATCCAGCTGAAATCATTAGGTGTGGCAGGCACACATTCCTGTTGACATCAAGTTGTAGTTTTTTCTAGCTATGTCTGGATACACTGCAGCATCTCTCCATGTGGAAAGAAAACCTTTGTTATAACCTCTCTGTACCTCATTGTACCTTCAGTGTCTGGCCATGACTTCCGTATGCTGCTGTTTTCAAGACTGGTGTGTTTTTCCTTCTTGAATATTTCTTGAATTTTTTCTTGAATTTTCCTTCTTGACTATTTCTACAGTGACTCATAAACCTTTTGATAGTATTACCATGATGTTTTATTGATAGTGTGGCATTGGCTGGGCTGGTGATGGCTACATTTGTGGAAAAGATGTTGACATCGATGGCTATCCTAATGAAGAACTCTCATGCTCTGCTGAAAACTGCAGAAAGGTAAGAAACACTTCCCTAATTCTATAATAATTCAGAGCATGAAGGGATAAGGAAGAAGACTGTAATAAACATGACTCAATGTAGTCATATTTTATTCAGGTTATTGAATTCTATTAAATTTGATGATTAATTTCCAATTAATTAATAATAGGAAAAAGTCATTCAAATTATGAAGGCATCCAGTTTACCTATAGAACACCAGACTTGTCTCCTTTTTTGTCTAGGACAATTGCAGATTTGTCCCAAACTCTGGACAAGAAGATGCTGATGGTGATGGGATTGGAGATGCCTGTGATGATGATGCAGATGGAGATGGCATTCCCAATGAGCAGGTGCTGTGTATGGATCAGGATGCAGGCATCTGTGCAAACAGAAGGATTTCCTGTTGCTGCAAATGAAAGTGATTCTGAAATCTGACTCACTGCTGTTTGCCAGAGATTGTTGCATACCGGTCACTGTCAGTGGCCCCTTAAACCCTGTCTTTTTCTTTTATATAATGCTCATTCTTGCAAGACTTAACCTACACAGCCTCAAATCCCACCTGTGTATCCTCCATTACTACCTTTTATCATTTAATTCTAAAGCTTTTTGTATATAGAGCTTGTGTCCTTCAGTCACAGTCTCCCATAGCATGACCTTCAGGGACATTATTTGCATTAACATCTATTTAAAGAGCAGGTTGACCTGACAACACATTTCACTGGGGATCCAAAACCCACATAAATGAATGTGTGTCTTGCCAATAACTTGAAAAAGCTTTGGATTGTATCCTCAAAGCAGAAGAGGTTTCCATGTGGGTACACACAGCAAAATATATTAGAGGATTCATTCAGATTGGAAAAGCTGGTTTGTTTTCATCTGGTATTCTTACAAGCCCACTGTTGTTCTGTGTTAAGATTGCTGACTGATACTGCTTAATAAGCGAACAAGAACATGTTATCCAGAGTACAAATGTCCACCTGCAGCTAGGGCAGACTAGCAGTCACAGATGGTCTGTCTCAGGCTGCTTTGCCACAGAGTTCCACACTAAATTCTGCTAGCTTAAATCCACTGGTTTTATTAATGTTCTAAAATGAAAAAATTAAATCCTCCTTCAATCGTAAATCTATTTGCAGGTTCAGCACCTTCATAATCAAGTAACTTCTATATTTTTTTTGAATGTCTGTTGTTCTTCCCTATGGGCAACAGGATAAGATCATAGGTGTGCTAGATAGGTGTAGAAATTTCATACCACTTTGAAATAAAATTTTCTCCATATACCTCCTGGTGGACTTTAAAAGTCAATAGCAGCTTGTTTGAAATAAACAAACCACCAAAACAAAAAAAAACCCGGTACCTTTTTGCATCAAGTTCTTTTCCCAGTTTCCAGCTAGTCTGTACCAGAAGGGGGCAGTGGCCTTTCACTGAGAGCGTCTGCAAACCTTGTCAGTCTCTGAACTGCAGCTTTTGAGAAGGACCACGTGAGAAAGCTCGGGTACCAAAACAGGCTCCTCATCATCTACCCATGCAAAATGAGAATCAGAAATCAAGGTTATAAGTAAAGCTTTATGGTACTGGGTGTTTGTGATTAGGGTTCTCAGAAGTGGCTTAAAGCAGAGCTATGAGGGAGCAAGTGAAATGTGATCCAGAGCTAATATTGACATAAAACATCAAAACTGCTCGCACTGTTTTGTTGTTTTGTGTTTGGTTTTTGGTGGTTCTTTTTGGAAATAGAAATAAATACAAGCGTTTCATAAATCAACTAAAGTAGAAATTAAAGGTTCACACCCCAAATGATGTCTGATTCTGTGTCTCTTGCAGGATAACTGTGTTTTGGTTCCCAATGTTAACCAGAGAAACAGTGACCAAGATATCTTCGGGGATGCTTGTGACAACTGCCGTAATGTCCTGAATAATGACCAGAGGGACACAGATGGTGATGGGAAAGGAGATGCTTGTGATGATGACATGGATGGAGATGGTTGGTGATTTTTCACTTTCAGCTTCTCTGATGTCATTCAAATTTGCCCAGAGTGTGCATTAGATTTCATGTAACACACAGTCTTTATGAAACCCGTGTTTTTAATCCTTTTAATTCAGTTAATACCTGTCTTTGCCTACATTGGAAGCACTGTACACTGTAACAGAGAAACCAAGCCCTGTTTCATGTAGAAGTTAATGTTGTTGATCATTCAGCATTTCCTTAAAGGTACAAATGTTCCAGAGCATCCAGCTGCTGCCAGTCACTGGTACCTGAGAGCTACACAACATATTGTTTTCATTGCTGTGGGAGGCTTTGAAAGAAGTGAAAAAATCACACCACTTCAAATGTAATTAAAAAGATTAAATGTCCCATCCTTTAAGTTGTGATACAGAAACAGGATAGAATGAATTGTGTGTAATTAAAGGGTGTGATGGGGTGGACAGCTATGCCTCAGCAGGGTATTCCTACTATTAAATGAGTGATGCACACATAAGAAAAATTTACTGTGCAGACTTAAAATTTCATTGCAGGATTAAGTAGTTGCTGAAAAGGAACAGTCTTTACTGTTTTAATGTTTATATTGTCCAGTATGGACAAATATGGAAATTGTCTTTAATACACAATCCATTTTACTCTAGGTGTTAAGAATCTTTTGGATAATTGTCAGAGAGTTCCCAATGAAGACCAGGAGGACACAGATAATGACGGTGTTGGTGATGCCTGTGACAGCTGCCCTACAATCAGCAACCCAAACCAGGTTAGCAGGCAGAAGGAAAAATTATTCTTGCTTAGGGAGAGGGACTGCTGAGGCCTAAAAAGGTGCAAGAGAATGAAGCAACCCATGCAACCGTAGTGTTTGTATTATAATAATAAAGTGTATTTCCTGGATAATATAGTATATATCTAGGTATTCAGGAGTTTTACAGACATGCTGACTCTCCTAATGTGAGAAAGGGGAGCCACTAGTTGTACTCTCACAGTTTGGGATGTTGTTAGGACCTCTACCCAGCATGTATCTTCTACTCTCATGCTCAGAAATGGGCTTCAGTCACGCAGAGTTCAATGCGCTAGACTCCACACAGGGGTGTGATTTAGTTACACTTCCTATTTCTTTAACCTGCACAAAAATCTTGGTGTCTGTATCTCAGTGCTCCCAGGTGAGAAGTCATTGTAACTTTTCATATGTTGGAATTCTGATTTCACCCCCTGTGACTAATGAAAAACGTTGGAAACTATAGAGAAACATGCTAGATTTTTAAAGATGATCAAGAAATAAACCTTGGCTACAAATGAGGAATACTTATTTTCAATAGTAGAGGAATCTTGCTTGAACTCTTCAATTAAGTTTAACTGTGTTTATTCACTGTCCTTTTTTTTATAAAACAGTTTTTCGTTAGATGGATGATGCAAGAGAGAAAATATATTCTGTAAAACAAGTGTCTTGTGTTGTGTTTTGATTTAATCCTACAATTTAAATAGATGCTCTTGACAGCTGATACTGGAACTTTGTTCCCTTTTGCAGTCGGATGTCGACAATGACCTGGTTGGAGATTCCTGTGATACCAATCAGGACAGGTATGCTGTGAGAGAGGCTAGTCCTGAGCTGAAGCATTTGTGGAGAGCTGTAATCCCTCTGTCTAGCCTGGATTTATATTCCAGAGGGATGTTATTTAAAAAACAGCATTAGTATTTACTGGCCATGTTTGTTCACTTTCCTGTGGCAGTACACTTAAGGAGCCTTCACCTTTATAGCCATTCACACAGGCTTATGCTGAATTCCTGTGGAAGTGACATTCAAGCAGTTCTCTGGCTGTGAAATGCAGAGTAATGCTCAGAGCTTCTTAGTGAGAAAATCTCTTTCCTTTTTGTTTTTGTTTTTCATTCCTCTTTTATTTCTCTGTTTCCTAAGCAGAAATTTCAGTTAAGGGCTCTATGTTTTTCCTTAAGAACCTAGTGTTGCAGAAACAAAATTTTATTATAAAGTGTTTAACACTTGCAGAGCAACCCCTTTGCTTTAGTACAGCAAGACTGGCAAGGATCCTTTCTCTATGGCTTTCATATGCCTTGGGCATTCACAAGAACACATCCCATGACAAATTGCATCACTTGTCTGGAAGCAGCTTCAGCATAACCAGATTATGGGATGGCAGGTCCTCCCACATGCACCTCATTTACAGCAAGAGGCAAGGGATTTGACAAATCCTGTGCTGTCAGAGTTTCACCCCAGGGCTGTTGGTGGGTGCTGCTCTCTGCAAATGGACCTGTGGGGAGCTCACTTCCATGTCTCTGAAGGGATCATTCCCAATCCTGAGCCAGTAGCTGCCAAGGCCATCAGCATTTTACTCTTAAATTGATATGTCTTTGCTCTTCTGTTTTTAAAAAAGGACTTTTTCCCTCCCTTATAAATTTCACTAATGTGAATGCGTGTGAAGCATTTCCTGTGTGAAGCATGTTTAACCTTGCAGTAGATACACATGTATGGTGTTTATTGCATTTATCTCATTGTTTAGCTCAATATTGCAAACATTGATTACTCTTACCTAAAATTAAAGCATATTTCTTAAGCAGGGGTGAGGTATTTGGGAATATTCCTACCTATAAGCCATAGCGTGACCTTAATTTGGCTGCAGGCCTCTTCTACTCCACCTGCGCTAATAAGAAGCTACTGAGGGAAAACATGCCTGCTAATTGCTAGAAATCAGTTTTGTTTTGGTGTGAATACAAAACACACCACACTTCAGGCAGGTTTATTTCAGGGATGCACTTAACATTTGGGATGGAAAGGTTATGTAGCCACCCATAACTTCTTGCACCTTCTTCTGTAGTCTGTGTCCCTGGGCCTGGTGACTCTTCACTGTAACCAGCTGATGCAGCCAAGGCCTGGAGGGAGTTACAGACTTTCTCCTCTATTTCTTACTGCATGTCCCAGCTGCAGGACGGCAATCATTCAGTTTGGAAAACACCTTCAAGACCATTGAGTACAAGCACTAATGTAGCAGTGCCAAATCCACCATGAAAACTTGCTGTGCAGGAAGGTGATTAAAAACAGTGCTTGTTTTCAAATGCCTGATTTCAGGTGCTCATGTAGAGTGTCAAGTGTAAAGTTTCATTCACACTCACACCTGCATGTTCATGAGCACAAAGACACGTGTACATAAGACAAGGTCCAGCTCTTGCTGTCTTCTGAGTGCCTGTTGATTGGTGACACTGCACTTGCTGGATGTGTTCTCTCTAGTGGACACTGACTGGGTTCTTGGGCTCCAGTATGTTTCTCACACCATGTAAGGCTTACTTGCTGTGAGAATTTTTGGCTTGGTCTTTGCTTTCCTGCCACCTTATCTTATCTGAGTCTCTTTTTTCCTGCTCTCCTTGCAGTTCAGCCACCTGAGTAAAAACAGGTTTTGTTGCCTGCTGGTCTGCTTCCAACTCCAGAGCTGCCACTGTTGTGTTTCCCCCTCAGGTGACCCTGCTGTTCAATGTGCAGAGGCAGGAGCTGACGCTGGTATACCATTTTTTTTTTGTTTCTGTGCTTGCAGCGATGGTGATGGGCACCAGGACAGCACAGACAATTGCCCTACTGTTATTAACAGCTCCCAGCTGGACACAGATAAGGATGGGCTGGGTGATGAGTGTGATGAGGATGATGATAATGATGGCATTCCTGACCTCTTGCCCCCGGGCCCTGACAACTGCAGACTGGTCCCCAACCCAGGGCAGGAAGATGATAATGGTAAGATGGGCCTTCAGGAGCTGTTTCGATTCTCAGGCATTCATCTCCAGGCTGTATGCACCAGGATGCAACACAATCGTTAGCAATGCATACACTCACCCCAAGAACAACAGCAGCACCCAGGGGCCCTTTAGCCAAAACAGAGGCGCTTTCTCAGGCACTACAGCCAGCAGGGCTGACACTCTGCGTACTTCTTGGACACCCTAATCCCATGGCTGGGCCCGATATCACTACTTGCTGCACCATAAATCTCCTTTTCTTTCTCTGATGCATTCAGGTGATGGAGTTGGCAATGTCTGTGAGTCTGATTTTGACCAGGATACAGTGATTGATCGGATCGATGTGTGTCCTGAGAATGCAGAGATCACCTTGACAGACTTCAGGGCCTATCAGACAGTGGTGTTGGACCCAGAGGGGGATGCGCAGATTGATCCCAACTGGGTGGTTCTGAACCAGGTAAAAATACACTTGGTCTTTCTTACCTGTTTGAGAAAGATCATTTGATAACAATAAAATCGGCTCTGTAATTGCTGGACCCCTAGCAGACATGAAACATGGAAGCTGTTGATTAGTAGACTATTTTCAAGAGTAATAATGACAGAATTTTCCTTTTGATAGGCTTCAAGCTATCAAAATTGATCTTTCCAATAATCAAAAGCAGTTATATACTAGCCAACTTTGGGTGGATTTTGGTACTGCTAGAAGGCAGACATGTGTTACCCCACTGAAATATTTCTGTAGCAAACAAGTTTCATTAATCCTTCTGATAATTTAAAAGTCTGACATGCTAAATAACAGAGCATTTCATAGAATCATAGAATGGTTTAGGTTGGAAGAGACCTCAAAGCTCATCTGATTCCAACCCCAACCTGCCATGTGCCCACATACATCACTAGACCATGTTTCTGAGAGCTCCAGGCAGCCTTGAACACTTCCAGGCTTGGGGCATCTCTGGGCAACCTGTTCCAGTGCCTCACAGTCCTCACAGTTAAACGTTTTTTCCTCATACCTAATGTAAACTTACTTGCTCTTACATTTAATCCATTGCCCCATGTCCTGTCACTGCATGTTCTTGATAAAATATCCTTCTCCATCTTTCTGGTAGGCTCCCTTCAAGTACTGCAAGGCCACATCCCAAAGCCTTCTCTTTTCCAGGCTGAAAAAAATCTGATTCTCTCAGCCCATCTCTATAGCAGAGGTCCTCCATCCCTCTGGTCATCTTTGTGGCCTCTGGACTTGCTCCGACAGGTCCATGTCCTCCCTGTGCTGGTACTCTAGAGCTGGATGCAGCACTGCAGTACTCCTGGATGGAGTCCAGTAACCTATTTACACTAACAAATTTTAGCCTTCAAGAGGCTAATGTCTTATGAGTCACAGGGAACATGCAGTTTTTTCCCATTGCAAAAATCTCTGCCAAGCCAGCTGGGATGTATACATCTTCCTTAACCCAGTCCTGGCAGTCAGTTTAATCCTGAACTTTGTGATCCAACTGTATGAGCTAAGCCTAGGAAAAGCTCTCCTACCACAACCCTCTTCCCTCTTTCCCTGCACCCCAGTTTTGGCCAGATTCAGATTTCCAGAAGATTGTGGTAGGGAAAGAAAGTATCAAAATATCAGTATGACTAATTTTGCACTAGGAAAACTGACAAATCATTCCCAACTCAGGCTATACAAGCAGCTGAAATATTGATTATGTATTTGATTACAATTCTCACTGATTTTAGTTCAGACCTACAAGCGTCACAGATACGCTGTGAGCAAAGAGAAGAGAGGAATGAAGGAGATGCTAGAGGAAGACCAGAAAAGGCTGTCAGGCTTAGCTAATCCAGTTTGCCACACATGCTAACCACCGTGAATTTACCCTTACAGGGGATGGAAATTGTGCAGACTATGAACAGTGATCCTGGCCTTGCTGTTGGTATGTAGTCTCTTCTGAGATTCAAGTTTTAGAGCGGAAAATGCACAGAATATGAATGTGTGTTCTGCAGAACTGTTTTTAACTTGTGTGTACTCTTAGGTTACACGGCTTTTAACGGCGTTGACTTTGAGGGCACTTTTCATGTCAACACAGTGACAGATGACGACTATGCTGGCTTTATTTTTGGTTATCAAGACAGCTCTAGCTTTTATGTAGTAATGTGGAAACAGACGGAACAGACGTACTGGCAAGCAACTCCCTTCCGAGCTGTTGCAGAGCCCGGCATTCAGCTGAAGGTACTGGTGGTGGCTCCTAGCTAAGGACACAGTGCTCACTGCAGCCTGGCTGTGCCATCTTGCATGTGCTGGCCATGGGCTAGGTGATCACACCATGCATAAGCCAAACCACTACCCTGCACGCCAGCTGTGCTGCCTGACTGCTGTTCTCTATTGGCAACTGCTGTCAAAATGGTTAAGTCAGGCAGCTGCCACACAGCCCTTTTAATAGCACTGTTTTTTTAAGGAACTTTACCTTGCCTTTCTGATCCACTGGAGCATTTAGTCTCTGCAGTGATTGTGCTCTGACCTTGACTGGCCATATTGCCTCCTTTTCCTTTGTCCAAGTACCCAGCTGGTTGCTTTGTCCACGTAGGCAGTGGCTGCGGCTGTAGAACAGAAGTCAGGGGCTTGTTAGCAGCAGAGAGTATGCTTCTGCAGACCCGCCCCTCACTAAAAAAAAATCTTGGCTCCTGAAAGTGACTTTTGTCCGTGGTCAGTGTTGGAAAATTTTATTTTTGCAGGCTGTGAAATCCAAGACAGGTCCTGGTGAGCACCTCCGCAACTCCCTCTGGCACACAGGGGACACCAACGATCAGGTCAGACTGCTCTGGAAGGACCCCCGAAATGTAGGGTGGAAAGACAAAGTCTCCTATCGCTGGTTCTTGCAGCACAGACCTCAGATTGGTTATATCAGGTAAGAGAGGGAAGGATAGATCAGGTGAGTACAGATACATGTCTGCCTAAACTGTAATTTCTCAACACCTGATTCAGATGATAACCTGAGAATTTCTGTTATGTCTAGGCTTTGTACTGATGAAGGCTTGTAACAAATTAGACTTTTGGAATTCAGCCTGCAGCTTTTTTCCTAGACAAATTTCAAGTTAAACCTTTTTATATAGACCATCTGTCTCTTAACTGTGCTTACCTTGATGAGCTCTTTTCTGGCTTTAATACCTTATTTTCCAAGCTATGCTGGCCACTGATCTGAAAAGCAATATATTTCAAATTTTCGTAATTTTTTAGAATATTTTTCTTGGAATTGGGATAGTTCATTTATGTATTCTGGAATAAAAGAGTAAAAGTTGTCCACTTAGAAGTTGTGAATGTAACTAACAAATAATTATCTTTATGTGATAGATTCAAGATTACTCAGCATATAGCAGAAAGTTTGTCAAAGCTTAGTAATGAATGTTATATATCCTTCTTTTGGGGTTGTTTTTTTTTTTTGGGAAAAAAAGTTAATAATATTAAAAAAATCACCATTCAGGATGAAACATTTTATTCTGCAACATCCAGCAATCAGCAGGAATTATGCTTGTAGATCAAGGCTGATGTTGAAATACAAAAAACTAACTGCCCTGGCACAATCAAATCAGGTCTTTCAACCTTATAATAGAACAGAAATATGGGTAAGTCACCTTTTCTTCAAGAAAACCATCACCCTGCAGTTGACACACAGTAACTTGATGATGTAATTATTCCACTTTTCTAGTGCAGAGCATCATCTTCAGCAGTAATTGGAGTGAGCATGATCCACTTTTATGCTAAAATGGATTAAAAACATTTATATTGTCAATTATTGTGCCCCAGCCACAGGGCAGTAGCAAATAGATCTTGGGTGGCAACTTACCTTTAGACCAAGAAGTTAGTGAAGCTGTTGCATGAGCAAACATCTCCTATGGCTGCAGTCTCCCCAGCCAGCCTAAGTAATGCTCCCTGTAACTGGGAAAGGTAGCACAGTGTGTGTCACAGAATCCTTTAAAACTAAAGGCATCCAGGCCTAAAGCCAGGCTCTGTCAGCTCTCTGCCCACTCTTGCTGCAGTCTGGTTAGGGCAGATGCCACAGACCACTGCTTGTCTAGCGAAGTTTTTCGAGGCTTCAAGGAAGCCTAGGAAAAAGTCACTTGAGCCAGCCCCTCCCATGGAAATTTGCAAGACAGGAAGTTCTATTCATTGTACACATACTTCTGAATTGCCTCAGTAAATCAGTAAATAAAGCCAGAAGCATAACAGGATTTGGGGTTTTTTTTTCCCTTATTTTATGAAAAGACACAGGAACTTTCATTCCTTTCACCATTCGCTCATTTCTGGTATACAGAGATGTGTCAGCAGTATCCTCATCCACAACAGGGCCCTCCAAGGCTCCTGGTCCTCTAGGTCATTTACCCAGTATCCCATAGGCTGAGGACTTGATTTGGGCAGATTCCAACAGCTCAGCTGGCTCCAATGTGGTCCTGCTCAAGCCCTCAATACAGAGCACACACTTAGAAGCTGGTGGGGTGCAGCTTTCACAGGGCTATTTGGGAATTTGATGATGGGTTTTCCTAACAAGAAAATGCTAGATCAGCAAAAGAGTTCCTGGAGTTAATTATATGCACATTTTTAAAGAAATCTCACAGACAAGTTTAAAATCCCAATGGTTTGTTTGAAACTTTTCCTATTACAAAAAAAAAAAAAAAGACTTCAGACTTTCAGACTTCAAACTGTGCAATATCCATCTAGCCTTCTTCAACTGACCTAGTCTGGTTCTCCTATCACTCCTATCACAGTGATATCTCTCTATCACTGTGGAAAATTCAAGAGCTAAAGCACTCATCTGGAGTGACAACAGGAAAAAAACATTCCAAAGCTTTTTTAGGATATATAGAAACCCCTCAAAAACCTCCCTTGTCTGGCTCTTGCCAGCTTGCAGTATTGCTCCAGTTCCCATCCTACACAGGAGCTACCTTAATTGCTTTTTCTTCCCTGGCTAGATGAGAGGGATAGCATGTCCAAGTAATAGCGTCTCCATGGATAACAACATTACTTTCAGGAATGTTGCAGCCTTCAAGAAGACCTAATAAAGCTTCTGTTTGCTTTCATTAAGGGCAAGATTTTATGAAGGCTCTGACCTAGTGGCAGACTCTGGTGTAACTATAGACACCACAATGCGTGGAGGACGGCTTGGAGTTTTCTGCTTCTCTCAGGAAAACATTATTTGGTCCAACCTGAAATATCGCTGCAATGGTAATGTTGCTCTTATGCCATTTTAGCTAACAATTAAGTTACAATGAAGAACCAGTAGTAAGGCTGTTGGATTAAGCCATTTAGCATTCTGTCCTTTGCCCTTCCTTTACAAGTTATTCACAGCTGTGAAATGCCTCCCCTGACACCAGCAGCACACTGCAGCCAGCCAGTCCGGAACTAACACTTCACAGCTGCTCCTCCCACAGCAGTCACTGCTACAGAGAATGTGCCATCTGAATGTGCCATCTGAATGTGCCATCTGAATAGCTGTCATCAGGGAATTAGGAATGTTATATAAAACCAACTGACTGTGAGAGCTGTGCACACACAGTAAATACACTGATGCCAACATGTATGTAGATGCCTTGAGCTTTGAAAACAAGGTGAAATACACCTGGAGAGTCAGTGAGCTTAGGCATCAGGCATCACTGTCACTTGTGTACTTGCTGGCTGGTCCTGTGGGGTGGGGGACAAGATCATAAGATGCATTTCCTCCCATGTGGGAATGCATCTGATGTGGGAGCGTGCTGGCTTACTACTCTTGGGGAAAGAGCCTTTTATCTTAGCCCTGATCATCCACTATATAAAATAACTCAAACTTTAGTCACTCACACATAAGCTGATCATTTCAGGGTATTTCTGTCCCAGCAGCAGTTCAGGTAACTTGAACTGGGGCTGAAGGTGCTGCCTGTCCTCTCAGCATCCATATCCAGCCTTTGAAAAATAAGGTACAGCCAAGTTGGAATAGTTTCCTTGTCTGCTTTCTGCGGATCTGAGAAGCCCAGTCCAGGACTGTAGGGGACATGGCCACTCTGTGGCATGTTACGCTGATGGACTTGGACACTTAGTACACTGAGGCTGGCTCTTGGAGGTCACAGTTAAACAGGGAACTTCTAGACAGTAGTGCTTACAAATAAAAATTAATTGGTTAAGTATTTTCAACAATATTGTGGTTTCCCAGAAAGTATGTATCAAAGCTGCCACTAAGTCACACTTACATGGTAGTGAGCAGGCAAGTGGCATTGCTGCAGGAACTACATGAAGTTAATGAAACCCACTCAAAAAGACTCTGAAGTCCCACAGTATCTGTTTTCATGTCAGAGAAGTTCCTACATTATGCAGAAAAAGCCTGAAAGAAATGTCAAGCCTTTTAAAAGTGTTCAACAAAAAGCAAAGGACTTACCCCTTTTTCTACATGTATGTGTTTAGACACATCCTTTTTTTGCACTTAGATCTACCTCTCCTGCATCAGGGTGGAAATAATCAGAGTCAACTTGAGGTCATGCAGCTTTGTTGCTGTGGCTCCACTGCCGGCCACAGCTTTAACTCTATGTTATGTCTGTGGCTTTCTAGATAAAATGTTCTGGGATCTGGCAGACTGCAAATAACGCTTCAAACAGAACTGGAGCTGCTCTTATGACATTGATCCATCTCCAGCTCCCTCTTCCAAGTCTCAAGTCTTTATGCCAGTTGCTATTGGTCCTGGGGTTAGTGCTTTTTGTCCCTTTTTGTGGCCTGGGAAATCATCACAAGGAAGTTGAATTAGAATACAAGAGAAATTGAGATGCTGATGCTGCGAATGTGTCTGACTTGCAGAGCAAGACAAGCACTTCTCTTGCCTTTCTGGTTGTCGTGGTTTTAAAGCACTAGCTAAAAAATTACTAGAAAAATTTACTCATTTCTTGCTGTGAGATATGGATTAGGAGAAGGGCAACACAGGCTTAAAACTTAAAAGCCATAAACAAAGTTTATTAACAAAAATACAAGGATAAGAAACCAGAATAAAACCTCTAGAAACCCTTTTTCCCCACCCACCACCCAACCATTCCCTTGTCCAACTGACAGCATAGACAAAACCTGCTGTTTAAAATAGTCCCAACTATATAGTAGCTTTTCATCAGTCTGTGTAGAGAGAAAGTTCTCTTTTGTCAGTCTGTGGAGAGTTTTTCACAAGAAAACCATTTTCTCATGGCTTTCTATTTCTCTGATGCCAGCCACCTGGAAAACTCTGCCATCAGTTCTTTCCTCCCATTTCCCACTACTCTGAGGTGTGTTTATGGGCCATGATTCAAGGGGTGTCATTTTAAGGATGAGTTATTCAAAGGCAAAAGTTCTCTTCATCTGTCTCTGTGATCATCTCTGGAAACAGATGTTTTCTCTTTGTCTCTTAAGGGCTACAAGTCTTCATCAACTCTCCCTTCTCCTTTTCTGTTCCAGCATCTCACAGGATCACAACTCTTTCATCATTTGCTCAGCTCTATCAATGAATTACCTTTGCTTAGATCCACACTTTGAAATATTCCATTCCCCCCAAAATACTCTCATGAATTAAGGGAGTTTTTTCAGAACATTATTGTCCATCTCCATGCTTTTAACAAAAGAATATTTCAGATTTTTAGTGCATCTTCTTATTCTCTTCCCATCTGAGGCTCAGTTCCTTTCGTCACTGTTTCTGATAGTTTATGTTGTCTCTTTACATGTTGATCACTCTCTCTTCCCCTCTCTCTGGAAAAAGGATTAATCTGCAAGCCTCATCTGGGTAGTGAAAGGGTTAAACTCTTGCCCAGGCCTTGTGGATGGTCCTGTGATCTTTGCCAGGGCAGCGGCTGGAACTGTCTGCAATGGAAGATTTTCAGTGGCTGCTCTGGAGAGTGTGGTCACTGTCTCAGCACGCTGCAGGTCAATGGCCTTCTCTCTCCTTACTTGGCAATCTCTGGTGAAACTCAGCCGTGACAGAAAATCTGCAGCTGAGCCAGGGACCAGCCTGGCCCGGTAGCCCCACTGGTACAAGGCTCAGCGAGCCCTCCAGGAAGGGGCTCCTGACTCTTCACAGTCTCCATCCTCCCTGGGAACTGCAGAACTCCAGTCAGCCCCGCTCCCCCCGTGGCCTTGTCTGGCCTGGTGGGGGGAGAGGCTGAACCACAGCCCTGTTACCTATTCAACAGCCAGAAACTAAAGAGAGAGAGAAATTCCCAGGCTTAGGTTTTAAAGGGTGGTGTTCACAGGTTGATCTCACTTTTCAATGGTCAAAACTACTGTCAATTCTCAGAAATGACCAGTTATTGGCCAGGAGAAAAAACTCCCAGCAGCCTTAACTTCTTTAGCTGTTTCCTACTTTTTTCCTTAAATGCCAATCTATCACACTGGTCAGTGTTTATTGATAAAAATTTAAAGAGTGCTAGCCACGAAGTTTTCAGAGATATGTAATTTGAAGATTGATAGTACTTCTTTGTTGGGTTGGCACTGTAGCACTCACTGTCTTGTTAGCCTCTTCGTGTTTTTCTGTGGTATCCAGCTAAAACTGAAAACACTCCTTGTTAGCTGAAAAGACAGTAGGTGGTGGATAAGTGCTCCTTAATTTTTTCAGAAGAGACTAAACTTCTTCATATTTTCCTGTTTTCAGACACCATCCCAGAGGACTTTCAAGAATTTCAAGCGCAGCAATTTGGTGTTGGGGATATTTAAGAAGTAAAAGCAAACTAACATTGCTATTGCAAACAGTAAAACAATATATTTTAAATCCTTATATTATTTTTGTTGTCAGAGTGCACACCGCAGCTTTGTTCTCATTGATGTGACTATGTCAGACTTTTTTTTTGTATAAAAGTGAAAATAAAAAGGAGACAAAATAGACTTGGGCTTCACTTCTTTTCAAATTTGCCCTAAAATCTAGAGAGCAACATGTAAATGGAGTGACAGCTTGCTTAAAAGAAAAGTTCGAATCTACTGCCTTTTTGGATTCAGTATTAAACAGGGTGGGGAAGAAAGTGAAACTTTCTCTACCTTGAATGTGTTGTAAACAGCAGGGTGCAGCTGGTAATGAAGTGGTTTGGAGCTGTCTGGCTGAGCCAAGTAATACCTTTCCTGTCCTCCTAGGAATAGGTTGTGTCTCCATTAGGAAATTTTAAGGCCTTTGGAGACTGTTACCTTTGGCAGACCTCCTCTAAGCAATGTATTAGATCTCCCACTCTAAAACTGTGAGGAACACCATCACATCCTGGAAAAGCAAAAAAGCAGACAGCAGAGCATTGTAGTCACATCTTAAGACTTGTATGCAACTAAAACTAACAAACAAAAATATCTACAGAGATAATAAATTCAGAATCACCTAGATAAAACTATCCTAACTTTCATATACACAAAGCCAGGCTTTGACCTGTTGCCAGAGCCAAGCTCTCTAGGCAGGTACTACAATATTATGCAAAGAAGCCATCAAACTAAGACCCCAAAACATTGCATTAAGCATTAGTTACCATTAGGAAAGGACTAAAAACAGAAAGCCAAGAGAACCTGTATCAAAATGCACTCTAATTTGAAGTGCAGAAAGGTGCTAATACAGTGTGTAATTTTACTACATTCTCTTTCAAAACAGAGCTAGTTACTTTAAAAATAACTATATACTTTTAAAATAACTGTAGGATAGTGACTTTAGAAAGGACAATTAGAAATGGCACTTCTGCTTGGAAGGAGGAGGAAGGAAGAAACAGATAGGGAGGGAATACAATGAGTTTTAAAATCAGAAGTAACCTTGGGAAAATGAACAGTCCTAGCTCTTTCCCAGCACAAGGATACAGGGAAAATGCTGAGTTAAATTATCAGGTGAAAGCATCAAACGACAAAAAAAATTCCTTGTTCTCAGTACAATAAAAATACTCCTAAGGATATAACAAGCTATCAGAGGCTTTGACTACTTGCAGAATTTTCCCATGGGCTCCTCCATAATTGCAAAACGTTTCTGGAAGCAGGATGGCCCTAGGAGCTGTCCCACAAGGATCCCAGAGTCCCACGACAAAAAGCATGATGCAGAAGCATTCTTTTGGTTCAGTGCTTCATGATGAAAGGTCCTCCAGTTTCAGTCCTCCTTTCCCCTTGGCATCACTAAACCCAACCACTCACCAGATGCCTGAGGACTGAAAGGCTATTTTCTTCGAAGCAACACAGAGGGCATTGTCAAATTATGCTTAATAGATGACAAAAAATGTGTTTTTCTAGCTGAGCATGGGCTGTAACTACAGTATTGTTCATTTATGAAGGAGAGCACACACTGTAAAACAAATTTACATCTTCCTTATTATACATTTACATTTCACCAGAAGAACCCCCTTCTCCAGGGAGAAATCTTCTCTGAATGGTCTGGGCACAGCCTGAGGAGAAGTCAGTCACTACACTCACCCATACCACCTCTGCAGAACACATGGGGCCTGCAGTGCTCACATTTTGCACAAGTGGTCTCCTCACGGTGGATGCAACAGGCCTGGCTCACCCTGACCTGTCTGCAGCACACTATAGCCCCATCATGAAACATCACTGTACTTGACCTGCAAATCCTTGCCAGGCTCCAAAGCTCTGCTCAGCCCCCCTGTCTGCAGCCAGAGCCTCTCCTGCTACAGTGGCTGGGAGGGAGCAGCCTGGCCCTTTGCCTTTATCAGATGGCTTATCACCATGGAGCTTGCCTCTTCCAGGCTCTCTTCCAGTACATGGCCACTGGAAGCTGGAAGGTGAGATACAGGCTCTGGTTCTCTTGCTGCTGCCAAAGGCAACAGTGTGAAACTGTGAGGCTCTAACCTCCCCTGAGAGAAAACCTACTGGTTTCCAGTGCTGACAGCCACAGATAAAAGTTACAAGTCAGACAGCCAGAACTTTCATTTCAGAAAGAGCTGTTGGTACTTTATGATGGGGTGCTGGAGCTTGCTGTGTCTATTGATACACCAACTGCTGGGCAGCCTATAAGCTCAAGAGTGAAGCCAGCTGTAGCAAACATTTGTCCCACAAAGATCCCAGTCTGGGCTTGGGAAACCCTCTGCCTCTCACATTCTCATCAGTGATTGTGCAGTCCTTGTTTAAAAGCATTTTAAAAAGCTTCTCTAGCACCACAACCCCTTTCTGGACTATTGTGCAATGCAGACATAGCTCCATGTGTGGCCTCTGGCAAGTGAAGACACTGCAATCCCACATCTTCAAAACTGAGTATGTAGCTCACTCTTGACCCCACCGCCTGCACAGCAGGACCGCGCTCAGCTGGACTGGAGCAGCAGCTGTAACTACTTCAGAGTTCAGAGTCATGCACCAGGATCCACCCTCTCAAAAAAGGTTAACTCTTTCCTGTGTGCTGCAAACACCATGGCAAACACACTTCAAGTGCTTCTGTTCCCTGAAGACCATCTGGTTGGAATCACAAGGAGGGAATATCCTGCCAGGATGCTGCAGTGATGGGTGAGGGCAGTGGTGGGCAGACTGGCGGGAGGCTGTGGAGCACAGGCACTTGACTGCTTCAGTCCTTGGGCACCACTCAGAAACCTGTCTCTGCCTTGCTCCTAGGTCCAAACACACACCCTCCCAGCTCCATGCAGAGCTCTCTCACCCACCAGGAGCTGCACAGGGAATCGCAGCTACCACTGGAAGCTTAGTAAGCAGTTTCTCAGAACCACACTGTTGTGGGTGTGGTCAGCTCTCTGGCATGGGTGCCAGCAGTAGCAGGAGGCAGCCTGCAGCTGGCACACACCGAAACAGGACACGACCAGTGAGAACCACCACCCGCGAAGACAAGCCACCTTCCCTGGTGCGGATCTCAGCATGTCAAATTCAACAGCTGCCCACCCCACCATCTGGGCAAGTGAGGGGGAAAAAAAAAAAATAAAAAAAAATCAGAAATCTGCGTCTCAAAACAGCTGCAAAAATGCAAAAATGCTTCCATCAGCCTTAAAGATATTTTGTTTGCACTGCCAGGATACCTTACACATCTCGGGAAGCTGGATTATACAGAACAGATGCCACAGACAAACCTTTGCAATCTGCCATCATCCAGTATCACACACCAGAGAAATACAAAAACAACATGGACACTGAAGGCCTCTAATATTCCACGGAACAGCATTTTTTGTTAACACTGAAATATAGTGGGGAAAAAAGAAAGATCGACCAATTTACTGGCTCGGTAACTGCACAGCTCATATATCTGGATTATTTTTTAAGTTTCTTCTAGAATAAACTGACTTTGTAACTTAAATGTATCACAACAATTCATTTCAAATGTAAGAAAAATTTTATTGGTCCATTAAACATTAAATCTATAACAATACATTCGCTCAATATACAAAAGGAAGTGTCCATAAAAACCAGTAACATGCTAAAAAGGCAAAGCTGTTGACTATTTTATAAGTAAGATCTTACAATTCTGGAATCTTACCAATCCTTAAAAGTCAAACTGTTACAGTTACTAAAGACCACAACACTTGCAAAAAAGTTAAATAAACTAGCAAACTTCCACTTCACTGGGCTACAGCTTAATAAAATAAAACCACACATTCACACCAAAAAGTTCCCTTGAGATATTAAGAACCTTGAAAAAGACTAATTAAAATCCCCTCACCATTAAGATAATGTGTTTATATTTTGACTGTTTTGCATCCAGTTTTTGAACATGGCATATATGAGACTGAACATCATGCATCAGTGGTGAACAAAAAGCAGACACTGAAACCATATGTTCCTAGTAAATCTTTTCTCAGCTTGTATATTACAAGTAGAATGGTTTTATCTGGAAGCTAATTCTCTGCACTTTAAGTCTGCGTGGATGTCCAAAGGACACCTAAGCACCTGGACTTGTATCAGTAAGAGGAAAACTAAAGCTATGGTATGTCCAATGATCCATTATTTCCCCATAGCTTTCCAAAATTCTTGGCTTCGCACTTTCTTCTTGGCTTCACGCTGAGGCTTCTTTGGCAAAAAGCATGGCTGCAATGCTGCACCCTGCAGCTCTGGTGACTTTAGCCCTGGAAACTTTAGGCTGCTGGAGTGGTTTCAAAGCTGATGAATGTGGCTCTGAACAAGTCTGTGGAAATGCCTGTACGCTATGCTCTGGGAACTCTCAGAGACTGGCAAGCAGTGGGGAAGCCAACGTGGCTTACATCTGAAATAAATTCTAACTTTTTAAAAACAACATTTTTGAACAGGTGTGGAAAGAAGCAAATCCAGATTCGATAAAAACCCCTCAACAAGACTTACAGAATCCCCTTGAGCATTAGAAAGCAGTCGTCGTGCCAGTCTCTCAAAGCTGCTGCTTCAAACTCTGCACAATATGTCTACAACCCCATCCTGGGGCACTTGAACACTACCATGAGGATGTAAAAAATGCACAGACATACCAGTTCCCAAGCTACGTATCCTGTTCTGAGTAAAAAAAAAGCTACAGCTTTCTAAGCACTTGACTCCTGGCATTCATTTGTACAGTCATGCGAAACACTGAATTCTAACTACTGGTTACAAAACTGAAAACACGAGTAAAATCTCATGGTGTTCATTGTGTGTTTCCCTCCCACAAGAACTCGTAGGCCACTTCAGAAAACAAAGAAGCAGTTTTCACAGAAGAAAACTGATCCATGTAATAAGCTATGATCTTTGACTCTGCTTCAATGCTGCAGGTTGTCCTGCTATGGAAAGCAAAGGATCGGTAAGACTTGGCAAAGAGGTCTTTGCTAGTTTCTAGCACCAAAAACATCCCATTTGACAGGCAGCAAGTTGTCTGGGAATGAAGGAGGTTTACATTGCCTTTAAAAAACATATCCAAGGAGAAAAAGGCAAATAAAATGAGGAGATACAGTCTCCAAGCAAAAGACATTGCTTCTAAAGCCCAGAAGGAAAATGAGCAAAATTTTATCTGTGGATAATCTCAGCTCATCCAGCCACAAAGGCAGGGTCTTGTGGTATTTTGCTTCATCAGCTTAGGAGAAATGCCTAGCAGTTCATAAAATCTTTACAGCGCAGTTTAAAAACAGTCAATGGGTTACTTTGTTGCTGATCTTCTCAGAGATGCCCAAGATACTGTGGACTGTTAGCCAAAGTTCAAGCAGCACTATCCCAAGTACCCAAATTTTCCTGATGCTATCATTCAAAGCCAAAGAACTGTTAAAAACCAGCTTTTTCACAAGTGCAAGGGTTGCTTCATTAATAGCAATGTTCTAGCCCAGAAATGGCTGCAGAAGTAGCTGTCAAAGCAATTACACATGCATAATTTATAATCTCAAAGCACTTATAGACTTGTAAAAAGGTGCTAAAACACAAAATAAATAAATAAATAGACATGCAGTGTTTATGATTCTGCGAGGGGACAAACCCTCTCTCTGGACTCTGCACATATAAGCAACACTAAATTCTGCATTTCAGAGGAAAGCAGCCCAGCCCAAACAGGATTTACCACATTAGCTGGGCATGTACAAGGTGTTTGAACCTCATAGAAATGCTTGAAGAAGAAAGCTCTGAGTATCACAAACACGCAATACCTTTGATGTGCAATTGCAGTGGAGCTCCTTACTTGGCATCCAGCTGCAAGGGCTGCCTGCACACTTAAAGGAACTATGTGGCAAACAGCAAACAAACACACCCATCTGCTTTCCACACATCCCTAAGTAAAGTTTTATCATCTCATTTGTTAGTCCAGTTACTTGATTCAGACACTTGCTCTCCGAGTCTGTCCCACTTATTTTACCCCAAACAAGAACCAGTCATGACTGTGGCTCTTGGTTGCCTTCATGTGGAAAAGTAAAATTGTTCCAATCTCAGATGACAGTGCAGCAGTGAAGTCCCAAATAATCTTTATGATGGCAAATACGAAAAAGTATAAAAAAGCCAATAAAATTGTTTCACCTTCACAGCAGGACTTCTTCAATACTGTCTGCTCCTCCAAGAGTCAATTAAAGATACCATTAGTTCATCAAATTTAAATAGAGCAAATTTAGTACAGGACATGTTCTCTGGTCTTGCTGTCTTTGCAAGCTTCCTTACTTCACACAGCCCAAAACCACTAGGAGCCAAAGTGTTGCAATGTTTACATCTGGGAACAAATTCAATGAACAATCATGGTACAAGGCAGGATAGACACCGTGCTGTGAACTGCCTCAGCAGACAGTCACCTGCACTTCCAGGTATGGGGAGAGAAAGTTAACTGTTTACAGCTTAAATGTAAAATTAATCACTTATTTACAAAAGCATCAGGCTACTTGTGAGTTTTCCCGCTTAATTTTCCACTGCACAGTAAAACCTGAAGCAGTCTTATCCCCAAAGGTTTGTCAAGCACAGATTGTTTGGTCTTCCACGTGCACCCCGGGTCTAACTGTGCCTTGTACACCGGTGTAACGTACAAGGCAGCATCACCCAGTCACAGGCTCAGTCCAGGTTTTCCAGTTCTAGTGCCACCTGAATTAATAATTATCACAGCAGTGTAGGTATAAAGGCACTTCTTAAAAGTTTTGTTTTTTTTTTAAAAGCCCATTTGCATGAACTGTTTGGAATCTATGGGCTGGGAATTTGATTCCTTGACCCGAGCCGAGGATTTTGTTATGTAGTTGCACTGGAAGTTCACAGTACAGATTTTACAGCAAACACTAAGGCTGTAACATTTGCCTGGCCAGCAGGAAGACTTGTCTTGGTGAGGAACTAGAGTCTTTGCACACCCAAGTGCTACTAGTTACCAATTCCTTAGAAAGGCCTGGAAGTCCACAGCTGGATCTGGGGCACCATGGACACAATACAGGCCCTCAAAGTTATTTATTTTGTGGGGTTTTCCCCCAAACATTTGCTCAAAGAAGACAATTTTGTGTAAACAGGCACTGCCCTATTCCCACTCAGCTTATACCTGCAGATCTAGACACCTAAGGTCAATAGTTGGTAGTTAAGGATGGCGTAGCAGCTCAGTGAGGTGCATGCTGTGTAAGAAGAACAGACTTATGCCTCACTGTGCACTTTCTTTTTACAGCCTTGTTTCCTCTGTGCAAAACCTATTTCCCTAAACACAAACTGTAAAAAAAAGAGCACAAGGAGGTGTGTGAAGCCCTAATGCAAATACTACATAAAATAAGTATTTCTGTAAACAAGAACATCCAAGGACCAAGATCGGTATGAAGATCACTGACATTTGTGACAGGGATGCCTGCTATCAGAACCAGACAACAGGAACCGTTCCCTGCCTTATAATGACATAGTGCATGCCCTCCTCCGTGAAGGATTTCTTTCTCCTTTCTCTGATGGTTCTGTTACAAAAAAAAAGGCTAATTTAGGGAAAAATCAAATAAACAAACAAAAACTCAACAAAGAAACAAAAAAACCCAACTTGGTTTCTCATTTCACATATGGCACTAGAAGGCCAATCTTGCATGCCTTTTAGGATCAGGCAAGGCATGAGCCTGGACTATTTCAGTTGCAGCACACAGCCACAGCATTGGATCAAAACCGTCAGAATTGCTGCTGTGACTTAGGCAGGGCATCTGTTAATCACTGCACAGCCCACAGGCTCTTATCTTAGAGACTGGGCAGATAAATGCTTCTGGATTGAAAAAGCATTAATAAAGGCCTTTTTCAGCTGCAGAAGTATCTGTGTAGCAAGACTCTAAATGCAGGCAGGAATGTTCTGACAGGTCCCCATGCTAGCAGAGCTCTTGGCAGGATCAGAACCTCCTAGCAGAAGCAAAGGAAAAGAGAAAAACCTGCCTCCCTGTCCAGAACTATTTGTTGCTTTTCTGATTCAGTGTCAAAACCCAGCTTCAACTGCTATTTTTAACTCTTGGTGCATACAAGAACACCAAGCTGGTCGCTGCTGGACAGACTCCTCCTTCCTTCACATCTCAGGACACGTATTTTGACGCTCTAATCACTGGGAAAGGTGGCATAAGTAGGACTGCAGATGTGAAGATTTTGTTGCAGGTAAGAGTGAACAGGGTGGAGTAGATCACATCCCTAGAAAGCTCCAAACAGGACAGAAGCCCTGGGATACCGTAACAACAAGGCAACTAAAAATGGTAATGAAAACAAGACCAGAATCAAGATCCAATATGTTAAGATTACTCACCAGGTGGGCATTAACCATTAATTACTACAACAAAAAAACTAAGGCATGCAAATCTTTTGCCAACCCATTGGCCTCCATGTTGTGCTTTTCTTCGATTTGCAGAAAGCAGTGGATGAAGATTTAAGGCTCAATCATATTTTTTTTAAAAAAAAGAGCTGCTAAATTGGTTGATATTTTACACTATACATGTATGTGAATATACATGTCAAGAAAGAGAAGATAAAAACCACCAGAACTAGCTCAAATCATAAATTCATCCCACCAGAATGTAAATAACGGTGGGGGTTCAACCTTTTTCAGCATTTAGGGCATTTGAGCTGTTGTTTTACCACCAAATCATCTGCTTAAATTAATAAAAAAGAGGTGTTTAATATCATCAAGTCATTTGTACTAAGGCAGCTGCTTCTTATATTTGTTATATATGTGTCTTCAGGTTTTGCTTTTCTGACTGCTCACTCTAGTGCTTGGAATAGGAATTCTACGAAAGAATTTCTGTTTCAATGAATATATTGGTTGGCTAAGTCCCATCACAACAGCAAAACTAATATCAACAAAGGAGTATAAAAATATAGCAGTTAGAAAAGATACTTTCCAATCAACACACAAGCAGAAAAGATGATGACACACTGTAGTCCTTTTCTGTCCATCAATGCATCTAAAATATTATAAAACTAGTCATGGAAACACAACTGAAGACCTGGGAGACCTTTAAAGACAAGCTGAAACAGCAGGGCAGAAAAGCAAATGAGCACCCCACTTTTAAATTTAACAGCAACTGGCAGTGCTCCCTTAACTATCATTTTCTCAACAGTACACAATGTGAATAAAGAATGTACCTTATCTTACATCCCCATGCAGTACACTCAACTTTTGAGTGACCTGGCAAAGAAAAACTAGACAAAATTCAGTTTGACAATTTGTGTGCAGAATTCCCCTTCAGTTATTAACTGGGCTAAATCTGAATTGCATAAAATATCCAGGTGCCTTTAAAGTAATAATAGAATAAATACTTTACTATCATTGGTAAATTCCTTTCTCAATCTAGGTATAAAATAACTTAATATATTTATTACTTAGATAAACAATTTTTAGTAGATGCTTTGGCAGCCAAATTTTATATATTCTCTTATTTCTACAGAAGTATTTAGATATGTTTCTGGTAAAAAAAAAATCTGGATACTACTTACAAGAATTATATGCTGTACAAAACAGCAGTCCAAATCATCACTGCAAACTGTAAAAGAAGCAGTTAATAAAAGAGTATAAAAAAAGAATGAAAGCATATTTGCTGAAAGATACCAAACATTCATGGAAAGTAAGAAGGTATCTGCACCATGAGTTTTTCTTTTGTTGTCAATGAAGCCAGAGAAGGATTGTCAGTTATTTGAAGAGTATTTCACTTATTCCAGTTTATGCAACAACTGTGTTTTCTACACACCACACGTAAGCATTGTAAAGTTTCAAAACAGATTCGTTCCCTTAGGCAATGCTTGTTCATAATAAAAAATGGTAAAAAAAGTCTTCAATCGTGTTTAGTCTGACTAAAAAGGTAGTAACTGGTACATTATGGTAATTGGGTAATAGGAGTTTCCTCATTACAAATAAAAAAGAAAAAAAAAAAGAGAAAAACTTAAAATGACCTTTTGACTGCTCACACTAAGAACTCTCTGGTTGAGCAACAGAGTGGAGCAATAAGAGTCCATAAGTACAGAAAGACACAAAACCAACAGGAGACCATCTTAATCCAGAAGATAGACCAGGTTCCA